ATTTGATTAAAATCTTTCTCGGTCAGAAAAAAAAAACAAAATTTTGTATTACTCAAAGATTTTGTTTATTTAGTAATAAACCATTTGAGTTTATTTTTTAAATATATGTCAACCTGTTAATTACTAAATGAGTTATTTTGACTGTTCTAACATTTAATGTTCAACAAGAAATGAGAAAATTTTAATCAAAATGAATTTAATTGAATAAGAAGTAATAATAATTGTTAATTATAAAAACAGATACAATTCATAGATACAATTATTATATATTTTAGCAAATTATAATGATGATTTTTATAAATTAAGCCTTATGCATTGCAGAAAAATGTCTTTTTCGAGTCAGTTTTGATTATTTATGCCCCTGCAAATTGGCAAGAGTTGTTTTGCAGCGCTAATTGGATTAATGGGCAAGTTTCGTGGGGGATGCAAAAGTGCTTTCTCAACTTTGGCATTTCCGGCGGCTGCGTCACGACCTCAGGTGTCATTAAAATTTCACGAAAGCCGCCGAATCGATTCGCGCGTGAAACTTCTCTCGTTACGCGCTTTTCCCTTTTACGACGTGAAAAAGCACAAATTTTTGTCATTACAAAATAATTAAAATGAACAAAAAACAATGAACCGTGTCTAATAAGCACACTTTTACCCAATTCAATTAAACACAGTTTAAAATAATATAAATAAAATTCGTCTCTGATAATTTGAAAAAAAAAAAACCAGGATAAAGTAACATTATTCAATTATTCTGGACCAAAAAGTACATCCAAGCCTATTTTGATGGAAATTTTGCAATTCTTCTTGATCATCGTTGATTGTAAAGTTATTTTTGCTGAAAAAAATGTCGTATATAGATCGAAAATTATTCTTCGTCTTGAAATGGAATTTCTTTGATGAGTTATTTCTCTGGTGCTTTTGTAAGTCGGGAATTTTTCTGCGGAGAGAAATTACATTCCTTCTGCTCTCTCTGTGTCGGTATTTCGCAATGCAATTAATTGCAATCGTACAGCTAGCAGGTCAAGAGAAGTGCCATAGAAACCGCAGTTTGATCGCGAAACGCAAAAAGTTAAAGGAATTAATTAAAGGCTAATTAGGATGAGGCAAATGTATTTATTCATTTCTCTCTTTTAATAGAGACAGAGTCAAATAATATAAATATTTTCGTTGGAATGGCAATTGAGACGCTTTTGATGCTCACCAAAGTTTATTTTTATTCCTTTAATACAGGAATTTCTTATATTTTACTAAAAGTTTACTCTAAATTCCAATGAAAATACAAAATAAAATCATTTATATAGAAACCTTAAGATCTGCTAAAAAATTTGAAGTATTCATTTCGATAAAATGCCCAACTATATAAATTAATATCACAGAAATTGTTCATTTTCTACTCAAATTTTGATATGTCTTGTTCATTTCTGTCAGAATCTGAACCATAATATTATTAAAATTTCCAAGTAGTTCTCCCTTGAAGTTTAAGTCATTCAAAATTGAATAGTTCATGCTAAGACGATTTCAACGATATGTAACATTGATGATTTCAAGTCAAAATTGGAAGTGAAGCGACCATTCGAAACTTTTGTATAGGCCACCATTTTAAATCTAAAATGGCCGCCATCAGAATAACTGACAATTTTGGATAAAAAATTATTTACATCACAATTTCAAATTCGTCTCCATCGGATTTTTCAAAAAGCTGAATAAATTTTATAGATAAAATTTTATTACCTTGACTTGTCCTTTAAATAAATTGCAATTCCTCTGTTTTGAAATGCAATTTTGCACAATAAGAGTAGAAAGAGTGTTACGCGTGGGTTGCCTAAGCCGACGGAGATAATTATCGATTTTCATGTCTGAGGACAAAAGTATGCAACCGGCGGCGCTTCTCGTTTCCTGCTAACGACGATGAATATATAATTCAGGTATTGCGAAATTCCGCCGATCGCTTGCATATAAAATTTTTACAAGCATCAGTTTCTGAAAAATTGCATAAAGTTCTTTTTTTTTTTTAGATTTCTTATAATTTTTTTCTTATTCTGGCGAACTTTATCAATCCAGCTGGAAGGGAAAATGCGTCCTTGTGGATTTGCCAGCTCGGCGGAAGAATTGTTATTTTTTTGTCTGTCGTGTCGCAAAAAGTCCCGCGGCAAAAGGAAGCGCGAAAATGCCCGCGACTTATAAAAATATTCTACAATAGAGGAGGAAAAAGGCTTCCCTTTGCAACGCACACGAATCGGAGAGAGAGAAGAAAAGAAAAAATTGCTGCGATGGCGTGCGTGTTTCCGACTGCGATTTTGAAAGGAGAAAATCCGCACAATGCAAAATGTGCAAAAATATTCCAAATATGTATTGTATACATTCAAATTTCTTTATTTTTTGTTCAAAACATTTGGGTTGATTCAAAATCTTGTGGAAATGAAAGTTGTGGTTTAAATTAATTAAATTTAATCCAAAGAATTTGAAATTTCGGTGCCTAAACTGGTTTGATTTTGATAATTTTATAGATGTCCTTTCAACAAATTTAATTTCTTTTTTTGTTATTTAATAAGAAAAAACTTTTTGAATTCTAGATTTATAACAAAATTAATTTTAATTCCAAATCAAATTGCGAGTTTCTCTTCTCAAATTATTCCTTGTCCTTTCCACCTTTGCCTTTGTTTTTTTTTTTCTTTCTTTTCACTGTTTTTATGAAAAGATTCGCGTCGGCAGCAGTTTATTTCCATTAATGTGGATTTGCTGCGAGCAGCAAAAACACAAGAAATGTAATTCAAGACGAGAGAAAAGAAGCCCGCTTTATTAATTTACGCGTTTTAATCTCCGAGGCAAAATCCGGAGCACCAAATTAGCTGCTCCGATTTCTGCTCTTCTTATGAAAGATCTTGTGTAATCGGATCGCAGCAATTTGCTCTTTGATCCTTCCAGCTTCTTTTAGATTGTTAATTCGAGGAAAAAAATTTAATAGAACTCTCCTTAGGTTTCCATCTTTATTAAATAAGTAATCGTATATTACTGAAAAAAATAATTTTTAATGAAATAAAAAATTGATCAACTCCTCAGAAAATAATCGATCAATAATTAAATTATTTTCATTTTTCTATGAGACCAACGATTAAAAAACTGAAATTTAATTAACTTTTATTTCCATTTTAAATTAACTTTATTTACTGAATACCGTTCTCCGTCCTTTGCTGCGAATCTTTTATACTTTCTGCGGTTTGTCGAACGCGGAAGAGGTCGGCGTTTAATCTGTGTTGTGTCGGCGGCGACAAGGGAAAACTCGGTCCCGCCGCAGCCGAGTACAAAGAGACGGCAAAACACAAAGCTTTTGATATTGGACGTGCAAGTTCGCCTTTTTGCGAAACACGGATCAAAGATCAAAGGTTGCATGCAAAAGAAAAAAAAATATGAATTTTCACATCGGATTTTGCATAATTTTGGCCTCTCGGATAATTTTTCATGAATTTCGTCACTCCAAACAATAAACGGAGTGCAAATTCGTGATCAGCGTCCACGATAACCTATATTTCGACACCCATGAAGGGAACTTTCTGAAAGCATCCCGAAAGTGACCCTGAAGGTTGCCTTACCCTGAGGGTGAAAATGACACTTTTGATTTCTAGAATGGAATTTAAAACTGTTATTAAAATATTTTTATTTAAAAAAAACTCAATTTATTGAATGTACCTGAGCATCCTTTTGACCCTGGAAAGCTTGAAAATCTCAAAAATTTTAAAAATACTTCTTGTTTTTAAAAATTATGTTTTTTCCTTGTAATTTTAAGGAATAAGTCTATAAATTTTGAGAAAAACTAAAACCCTGACAAAGGTGACCTTCGACCTAGGCCAAAAAGATCAATTTGATAGTTCGCAGTTTAAGTTAACGTAATCAATTTTTCTTCTGTTATTTGTTTTAAAACCATTTGATAAGACTAATTTTTAAAATTTTAGAAAAATTGACAATTTTTTTGCCAGGATTGGTCTTTTTTTTCATTTTTGATCTTTTTCTGTTTGATTGCGTCAATCCGTCGAGTGGATTTCTCCGCTAATGGAAAAGTCTCTCATCTTTTGAGAGGAATGATATTTTCGCTGCGAGAGGAAAAAACTGACCGGTCCAATTTCGATGGTGTTTGTTGAGGAGAAAAGCTTTCGCCACTCGGCTGCATTTTCCTCCGTTCCTTCGAGTGGAAAAATATTGAGAGAAGAGTTGAGTTCGCGTGTCGGCGCCCCATCATCGATTGACCCTTTTGTCGGTCCGAAAGGGTGGGGCGATTAATGCCATTAGGACCCACGTGTGCCCCGCTCACGTGACCCCTCCCTACCACTAAAATATTCATTTTTATGGAGATAATCGGCGTGTTCGATTCTCAGCTCAATTATTTATATGCAGATCAAAGTAAATACAAAAGTTGCTAGGGAATTTTTTAAAGGACAACTCATGATCCGAAAGTTTGTTGCATCTTTTGATATTTTTCAGTGAGACGATCAAAAAAATGTGGAGAAAACAAATTTAGGGCCAAAATTGATGGAGATAATTCAATTTTCCCAACTGCGGCCATCTTAGAAAATATGGCGGTCTATCCCGAGTTTCAAATACTCATATCTCTTCCAATTTTGAATCAAAATTATCAATGTTGCATATCGTTGAAATCGTATTTACAATAACTATTCGATTTTGATTGTTCAAAACTTAAAGGACAAACCAGGGACAAACTATTTTCAAAATTTGAATATTTTGATGATTTATACAATCAAAAAATTGAACTAAACCGCTGCAAAATTCAGCAGAAATTAAATGTTGTGGCTTGAAATGAATGGCGGCCAATTTGAAGTTTTAAAATGATTATATTATGTAGGCCAATTTTTGTTTCAAATCATCTGTTTCAACAGATTTTTGGAATCTTTTAAGCAAAAACGATTCAATTGTTACCGTGAAAGCTAAATTTTAGACTAAAAATTAAATAAAATGTTGAATTGAATCACTAAATTTTGATTTGTCGTTTGTTGCAGTGCACGTTGAGTGGGGGAAGAGAAGCGTCTGGCCCGTGATTGTGTTGGTGCAGCCGTTTGGGCCCGCGGGCGTCGCTTTCCAGACGTTGAAGGATCAAAGTTGGCCCGCGTGTGGCGACGGCGTGATTTCGGCCGTCCCCGCCGACGCCCAGCAACTCTCAATCGCGTGGAGCTTTTCGCACACGCCCGACTCGCCCGCTAATCTCACCTTCAGGTCAGTATATGAAATTTGCAAATCAAGTTTCGAACAAATAGTGAAGATATTCAAAATTTTATGATTTGGTTTATTACTTTGAAAAGTTGGTGCCTGAATTTGTATGTGCAAAAAGCAAGATCCGTTTCCACTCCATTCAATCTTGGCTGTCGAATTTGCAGAACAACAAAGTGCCATTCATTTTCCCCGAAGTGAAAGAGCCGCATTTATCAACGTCGGTTTCTTGCTCCGCCGGGACGAAATCACTTCTTCTTTTCATTTTATTCCGCCGGTGCGCGCGGATCATTAACGAAGGCAAACCTTCTTTGTCCACTTTCACGCGTCACTGGCACTAAATTAACGCTGGGTCTCGAGCAAATAACCCCTGCAAATTAACGGACAGTCCCTCTGGGAATTGCAACAACCCCAAATATTAATTCTGGAGAAATATTCATATTTGTGAATAAATAACAAACTTTTTATATTTAGTTGAATTGTTTGAAACTTTTGTTTAAAATGGTTTTTATTTGTTCGCGTTTTGCAAATTTTTTATCAGAAAGTAGACCCAAAATTCGTGATATGTGCCTAAAAAAAACATACTTTTTGACACCCACGAAGGGCAATTGTTCCAATACCCTGAGTAAATTTTACCCTGAAAATTGTTTGGATCGATTTTTCCATGCATTCACTGAAATTATTTTTAAAATTTACTTTCGGCTTGAGGAAACCTTTATTTAAAATTATCTAAAAACTGAATAAGTCAATAATAATGTAAAATGTTTTTAAGAAGTAAATTAAGTTTAATTTTGCTGACCTGAAATAATCAACACATTAATTCTCTTTGTTATCAGCAAAGTTCAATTATTCAGCTGGAAAAAGGTGATCTTTAACTTTAATTTTGCAGATTTGAATCTTAGTTCCTCATTTTACACTGTAATCTAAAATCTATGAATTTTTATAAATTTTATAAAACTTTTCAGATTCTATTAAGTAATTAACCTCAATTTGGATGATTTTCCAATAATAATTGCCTTTCAAAAGCAGAAAACCTGTTGACGAATCGGTCGAGTGCGTAGTGAAAATTTAATTAAGCCAAGTGGCGGTCGCGCCCGGACCAGCCTGTTTATTTATTAAGCCTGCGTTTTTTTTTTTTATTGATCTCGGCGGTACAAGCGGGAAATCTCGCCGGCGCCAAAACAAAATGACTCGTCCTTTCACCCAGTCTAAATTCCCATTCGTGGCAAATGAGATTCTTCCCTTACAATAAACAAGCTCAAAGAAGATCCATTTCTGAAAGAAAAATGGGAATACGAGCTCTTATTTGTCGAATAATGTTATAATAAATTTTAGAATTAAATAATTCTCAAATAAAAGAAGAAAAGTAAAAGAAAAAAAATTGCTAAAATATATAGCATCAAATTAATTAAATTTTTGATTATCTCACAAAGTTCCGACTTCTCATGATGGAAAAATTCATAACCCCCAATTTTTTTTATAGAAATGTATAAATTAAGGTTTCATTAATTGGTATTGAAATTTATTCCATTATTGTATTCCAGAAATAAAGATATTAACTTGTATTCACCAAAGAAACCTTTTGTGAATTTTAATAAGGAAGTCAACTTTCTCATTTATTATGCACGTCTAAAATTTGCATTTTCCGCCGCTATGCAAATCGCGTTATGGTAAACGAATTACTTTAAGTGCCTCTCCTCACAATTGAGTTAAAATTGTATCAAATTTTGATGCTGCTCAAAGTTTTCATAACAAAATGAAAATTAACCTTAAGAATTTTGTTAAATTTTTCCTGCGTAGAAAAAGGAAGAAGTTGTTGAGTGCTCGGTGCGGTTTTCAATCGCTCAAAAGTGACGCGAAATCGATGAGAGGGAGCGAGCGAGGGCAAAAACTGCTCGACAGATAAAGCACGTCTTCGCCTCGAGTTGGTTTTTTTCTTTCCGCCCAAACACATTCGCGAAACGAGGCTCGGCTCCATCTTGCAATATCTCAATGAAAATAAAAATGGTGGCTGAAAGAATGAAGAAAATCAGCATTTCAGACAAAAAATTTGACACCGATTTTATTCCAGGAAAGTGTTTTCCTTGTAAATACAATTTATCTTTTTAATTTCTTTAAAATGAGATTTTTATTTTAAAATATTTGTAATTTAAGCTCTATTTAAGATATTTTAATCCATATCAATTGAAAAAATGAATCAATTTTACGAATTTTACACATTTATAAGTAATTAATGTCAATCTGATTCATTTAAATCTTCCTGTCCAGTAAAAGAATAATATAAAATATTGGAAAAAAATTAAATTTCATTATCAGATATGACCATATAATTAAATTTGTGGAATATTTTTTAGAATTATAAAAATTTTGACCTAAAGATGTTCAAAATTAACTCAAATTTACCGTTTGAGTCAATTTCTATCTATTTGTTTCCTCAAAACCTTTCAAAATCGTATCAATTTGATTGGACAGAAAATATTTGAAAAATCAAGGGATGTAAGTAAATATTATTGGCTAAATTTAAATAAGACATTTTTTTATACTTATAATTTATTTTTGAAAAGTGGTGGTATTGAATTTCAGTAAAAACCGTTTAGCGTTCGTAGAAGTAAAGATTGCGGCGAGAATCTCGTTTGCCTGATGACTTCGAGCTCAGCGCCTTAATGCGCCTTTTCCTTCCCTCACACGAATTTTGATAAGAAAAACCGTCCTCGAAAATCGTCTTACCAATCTGAAGGAAAAACAGTTAACAAATAGAAAAGACATAGGGACTATTTTCAATCTTTATCTGCAAAATAATAATTTCTCTAAATTTGCTCTCTGAAATTTTCTGAAATTAAGTAGAAATTTATCTTCTTTTGTCGGAAAAGCAAATCTCGACAGGGTTGAGTGAAATAATTTGCAGTCCCTGTGCGATTTAATAAAGAAGACACTCCAGACTTCAGAGTTGCGGAAACTAAACACGTCACCCGATAAGGAGCGAGGAGAGGAAACGCAATTCTGACGTGTCAGTTAAGCTCGGATGCTTCGCAATCCAATTTGAAATTGGAAGGGAAGGAGGAAAAGAGAGATGATCATATTTTCCTTTTCTTCCTTAAATTTCTATAAATAAACTTGGTATTTTTCAAAATAATGGATTTCTGAAATTCGAAAGTAAATTATGTTTTTAATTCTCTTTTAAACTGTTTCTAGTTGCTCATAAAAATTGAATCTTTCTGGATAACACAATGGGCCTGATTATATCTTCAAAACAAGACAAAAATTCCTTTTACTCCAATCAAATTGGTAAAAATCGACACCAAAATTCCTATGGGAAACGGTTCAGGAAATATTTTTGTCAAGAATATCATTAAAATTTCATATTTTTCCTCTTATCTAATAATTTTTATGGAAATATACTCCTTTTTTTTTTCATTTTTGAATTGTTCCAAATTTTCAATTCAAGTTATTTATTTGAAGGAAACCAACTTGAAATCAATAAAAGGGCATTTTCTGGAAAGAGAAAGCAATTTTCTTTTACGCGGGCATTAGGCTAATGGCCGCGGCGATAATTATCAAGTAGGAAACGCTGTCGTGCGGCCAAGACTGGGTCAAATTTTATCGCGCCAAAGGCCAACGAACCAGAGGAAAAGCGATCGATTCCCGCCGACGACGCCACAATTTACCAACACAAAACGTCAAATACGAATAGCCAAATTTGAAATAATGTCCTTTTTGGCTCATATTGATCTCTAGATTTTTGCAATTTTCCCAAAAATTATTGGAAAATGGGAGATAAAATGAAAACTTGTGTTCTTCCAATTATTCAATTTTTATTATTCTCAGTACAATTTAGTTTATTTTTTAATTAAAAAAAGCACTAAACTTAAAGATCAAAGTTTCAAATATAATTTTTTAAATTTAATAAGTATTTCGTTAAAAAAATAAGCGCCAAATTAATTACATTTCAAAAATCTAGCATTGATTTTGTTTAAAGTGAAGTGTTTTTTCTATTAATTTTTGTTTCAAAAAATGAAATTATTCATATGAATGAGAAAAAAATAGTAAAATTTGCATTGCTTGTTTGAAGGTTTGCGCAATCAGAGCTCAAATTAGGGAGGGTCGAGTTTGTTTTCCTCTCTCTCGTGTTTTATCTCTCTCTTTTTTTCGTCGGTGCGGAGCGAAAATTGTCAAAGTGGTGTTTGTCAAAGGCTGCAATTACGCTCCGTGAATAAATTATTTCGCCCGAATCTGGCCGGGAAATCTCACGTTGATGCAAAATTCGATCCTCGTCTGTCAAAACAAACAATGGTGGAGTTACAAAAATGCTGAATTCAAATTCTGCTGGATTGGAAAAATAAGCGCTCAATTAAAATTATTCTATACCGAAAAAAAAAACGAATTGATTGAAGAAACTGTTGATTGTTATTTATTTTATAGCTTCAAAAACAGGAAATTCTGAATTTTTGACTGATTTTTTTTTCCATTCGTAACCAAACATGTGAAAACTGAAACCACCAGTTTTTAACTTTTTTTGCCAATATAAAGCTTCAAAAAAATGTATATATAATCTAAATATTTTTAAAATTTTTGTTATGCCTCTATAAAATATAAATAATAAATAGTTTACAAGAAAAGTCGATTTAAAATTAAATTCACGCATTGTGTAATCAGTTATTTTTATTTTTGAGCCATATATTTATAAAAACACCAACTTTCACACAGTTATGGAATTAAATTTATTACAATATTTCCGCTTTTAAAAAAGTTGTTAAAACTGAAGTCTGGTTTGATGGTAATTCGTGATGCTTAAACTCGCGGCATTGATGAATTTGGCCCAGTTTTGTGGCCATTAAAAGTGATGCCGGCGGCCATTTGACGTGATGCCAGGTCGAGTTTGCAAAAGTGGGACGCTTTTTTGCACAGAAATTGGCAAACGCTCAAATTCTCTCGCAGCCGAACATGCCACTTGAATCTTTTTCCCAACGTGAAATTCGCAAACATCGGCGTGAAAAAGCGAATCAATTTTTTGTGCTCAGCCAAGACGAATTTCCTCTCGCGTGGAAAAGTGCGAGGCCGCAAACTTTGGTTAATGCGATTATACAATTCTGGCACACCTGAGTGCCTCCGAGCAAAGTTGGCCGCCAATGAAAGCACCCGACCCAGAGCAGGTTAATTAATTTTCTGGGATGAGATCCGCTTTTCATTAATATAAAAGAAACTTGGCGAAATTGAAAAACTTCTAAACGTGTGCAGAGGAGGAATTTTTCCTTTCAGTACAAAAACTTCATGTTGAGTACATTTTTAATACTAAAAAGTCTGAAATTTAGTCTGTTATTAACCAAAAATGATCATTTTGCCGCTTAAAAAGTTTTGGGTTGGATTTTCAACTGAAACTAAAGAATGAGAAAATAATTTATTATTATTATTGTTGTTTATTTGTCCACATTGTTATAAATACATTGTTTACATTCAATATTTGAAAAACAATTATTTAAGAAAAAGAGATTGTTGGACAAAAAGGCATCACCACTAGCAAAAAGTTTGCTAAAACTTTCGAAATAAAAAATACCCCATCCGCCGCAGTGAGCCTCGGTTGACTGAGTTTTTGTTCTTATCACTTATCACAAATTCTGCCACAGGTAGGCCTTGCAGAGAGTGGGAAACTGTTCCACTGGGCAGGTTTTCAGAGCGTGTCCGGAAGGTCATTCCAGGGCCCGACGACCCTGAAGGTCCTGAAGATAAATTTCATTTCAAAGTTAATTTAAAAGTTTAAAAACCTCGTCCTATAGAGTTTTGCTTTTGGTTTGAAAGGAAAGGAAATTTCATCCCCTTATTCCCCTTTCTTTTGATGGTTCTAAGATTGAAAAATAATATCCAACCTTTCAAAAACTACGGCCGCTCAAAGTTTACCTGCTTCGATCAGCATATTTGTTTAGGCGCGAATTCAATTACGGAATGCAAATTTAATGTTTGCGTCGCAGAACTAATCCTCGAATATTTTAATGAAGAATTTGTTTTCTGTTGCAGAGTTGGCTTGTTCGATTCGAAATCGCCTTCGGACTGGAGAAAACCGATCGCCTCGGGCCGAGTGCAGACCCGCGTCCTCTCAGGTACTAAGTTTTGCATTTAACGAAGGAAAACGTTATTCGGGGCGTGCAAACAATTTATCGGCGGGATTATGAGCTTCGCTTATTCGCCCCTAAAGGCTAAAAGGCCGACTATATTTACCTAAAAGCAATTTGCGTCTTTCGAAATACACAGAGGAGCAAGAAAGGAAATTTATTGCGACGTATTAAGGAAGCCTTTTGCAAATAATAATACATTCCTTTTGATTATCAAAATTACATTCAGTCCTGCGGCGAACCCTTTTAATTTTACCATGGGAAAATTTACTTTTTCATTTTTGTTTTTCTCTTCAGCCGTGGATAATTTTTGAATTCAGTTATAAACAAGTACCATTGAAATGAGAGGTCAGGAGGAATCGATCAGTGGCAATAAAAGTCATGGTCATCCTGATTTAATTAAAAAACCCAGATTTAAGGTATGGAGTGATCTGATTGGTCGGATAGGTTCCCCCACCACTTTGTTCATTTTGGCTTCAAAACATCAAGTGTGACACATCTTTGGAAACGTCGGGTCACAAGTAATGGATTGGTGACCTCAATGTTGAGGTCGGTTGAGGTCATCGTCAGATTTGCAAAGAAAACTGCGATTTGATTGACTCCCCCACCACCAAAATCATATTGACTTCTTCATAATTATCATGTGTGACATATCGTTGAAAAGGGCAGGTCACGACAAATTGATTGGTGAGGGGCAGAGGGGTCAAGGTCACTGGTCTAAAGTTAAATAAATAAAATTAAAACTGACGAGTTCACAAATTTTTTCATGATTTTTACTGTTTTACTAAGTTTTAAGTTTCTAAAGAAATATTCTGTCATTAAAGACTTTCTATTTTTACTTACATCAGTTTATTCATTCTTTCTGTTGGAAAGATGACAAAATTTTGGCTATAATTTTGCGGTCGAGAGAAAAAGAAACACACCTGGAGAGGAGCCAACGTACCCGCCTGCCCTTTATTTCGTTTGCGCTGCCCGAGGTCTTGACCCTTTCCATATTTTCCTCTCTTTTTTTTTCTGTGACCGAGAGTTATGAAAAAAAAAACGAGAGAGACGATCAAATTAAGGAAATTTCCCTTGCAAAGTGGCTTTGTTTCGTGGGGGCAGATGAAAATGGGAGGCACTCCAACGAAAAAGGTTATATTCCGAAAATACTGAATAGATCCTTATAATAACTTCAATTGTATTGTCATTCCATCACAATATTTTTGTACATGTACTGTGATTGAAACTCTCAAAATTTCCTGTTTTTAAACCAGACTTATTGTTAGTTGGAAAAATAGATTATTTATAAGCGTGGTCAAATTGAATTCTGGATACAGTTTATGCTAAATATAAGACCAATTATAAATATTTTTGCTTGAACAATTCTGAATTTTTCATGGAAAAAAAATGATTCAAGAACAATTTGGGTATAAAACTTCTCGCCGATTTTTCAATGGAACTTTTAAAACGTAAGATCTCTCGCCGACTCAATGAAATATCATTAATTTGAGGTTTTTTTCCTGCAGTTTAAATAAAAGTACAAAGAAATATCGGCAAATTTCAATTCATAGGAACTATTAAAAAATTTATCAAACTCATGTGTCTCCAATTTGGCATTCCTAATGTTTTCTTAGAATATTTTTTTTCTTACATCATTTAATCAATATAATGTAGCTGAACCTAAACAGAATGAATGCATGAAAAGACATGATGATTTGCCGTTTCTGTCCTCAGAAGTTAAAAAGTAAATTCTCCAGGAAGGGGAGAACGTGCACAATTAAAAAAAAATGAAAAAGAAACACTGATTCGATTGATTTGTGAAGTAAGAATTGTCGAATCTATTGTTTTTCTCTCATAGCTTTAATCCCCATTTCAATTGGGCATTTTTGTCCAACTATTCCCTTTCTCTGAAGATGAATTGTTCTCCAAAAATAGAATTTAATTGATGTGTTCAAATAAAGTAATTAGAAAAAATTTATCATTGAAAATTATAAACTATTTTAAAATTTCCTATCAAATTTGTTTCAAGGAAAGAAAAATTTGATAAGAATGGACTCAGTAGCATTCCCTTGGAAGTTCGCAGACAGTATAGGAAGTACCGTAGCATGGATGGCTGTTCAATTTTCCCTTTCTCCAAGTATTGATATAAACGCAGTCGTGAGTCTTGTCCGCATTTTCCCACCACAACGGACTGTTCAAGTCCAATTTTGTCCCGTCGCGCCAACGGAAGTCCTTTTCCCCTCCCGTTCCTTGGTTTTTCACCGAAACCCACCAAGCATAACCTGAAAGCAAAACAAATGAAATCAACTTTTCGACTGCAAAATATGCAAAATTCAGGGATTAACTTAATTCTGTCATCCAAATTTGTGTATCATGTAAATCTTTTATTTTTACCAAGTGAAGTCCCTGTTTATCGCAAAGCTCGTTTGCTCGAGACCAGTTTACCTGCCGATGGAAAAAGCACAAATCCAAATTTGCTACCACTTAAAACAATCGCTTACAGCAGTTGAATTGAAGAAGTATTTCTTGCCGTTTGACAGCGTCTTTAAATTAATAGAATCTGACAATTATGTAACTTTAAGGAATTTTCTTATTCAATTTGATCATAAACTCACCGGCAGGAGGGCATTTTTTCTTTGGTTCATTCAACTACATTACATTTTTGTTAGGCTGTTAATTTATAAATATAATGTTTGAAACCTGTTTGAAGTGATCAAGTCTGAGAGCGACAAGACTTTCATTCGCCCAATTCTTCTCCAGCAAAGCCTTTTCTTCAGTCACCTTAAAAAAAATGATTCATACTTAAAATCTGAAACTCAATCAATGCAAATTATTCATTTTTTCCAACCAATAAATTATCCGATAATTAAAACTGAAGAAGTAAATACATTAATTTTTACTTAAAAACTTACCTTATCGCAAATTTTCTTCAAATTATCTTGTTCGGCTTGTTCTTTTTCCAATAGAGAAATCTGATTCTTCAACTGATTCTCCTTTGAAGTCAAATATCAATTTTGTTATTTAAATAAATTATATATGTAAAAATTACCTCCTTTTCCATCTCATCCTGTTTTTCAAAAAGACTTTTGACAATCTGCCACGCCGACTGCAGGTGACACTTGATCTGCTTGTTATTTCCTTTATCCACCTTTCAGTAAAAAAAATTATATTTGGTTTTGAAATCGGCCATTGCGATTTATTAATTAAATTTAAAACTAACCGCTTCTCGAAACATGTCTGTGATTATTCGTAGCTGTTTCACTTCTTCCGAAACACCCTGAAATTTGTAATTTCTGGAATTAATTAACATATATCAAAAGCTGATCAAAATGATTAAATTGTATACATTGAAAATTTGTGTAAAGTGAAAAAGAAATCAAAATGTGGGAATTCCCAAAAGAAAATTAAATTAGTCTCATCATAATGCCAAACCCATATAATTTTCTCACCGCGTTTGATTGACCTTTGACCGAGACTGCAAGTACAACGATGAGCATCAAAAGTTGCCTACCCATCCTGATACTTTTCAACATTTGTGATTTCATGACACTTAATTGTAATACTGCTCTGCAGCCTGATTTGTTGCGCCTTTTATTGCTCAAGTTTAGTTGTACAAGTTTAAAATAACCACAATTGAATGATAGTTACACACATTATTAATTAATATAAATTTTGCTTCGTTTATATTCAATTCTATTTATTAGGTTATCTTGAAATAAAAACACAATAATTAAGAAAAAAAAATTTACTTATTTAGGTTCAATAAGCAAAACCGAGGAGGTTCGGTTTGCCGCAATTTTTATATTATTTTACATTTTGAGCAAAGGAAAAGGAAACTGGGTTTGACGCAGTCAATTAAAATATAAATTATGTACAGAATAATCAAACCGCAAAATATGTTGCAACGTTTTTGGCGTCTTGATCAAGCTTTTAATTAGTTTTATTTTTAAACATTCAATATAATTATGATGTTAGTTTTAACAAAATGAAAATTTTAAATTACGTTAAAATTGATATGGTCTGAAAAAGCCTAACAAAATTTTAATACTTTTAACGTTTAAATTTTTTGTTACAATTTTCAACATGGTTGTGAAATTTCATCTATTTCTAGAATTAAAAATATTTGACCTCCTCTTGATCTTTAAACGTCATTTTTCTCCTTCCAATTTTATTCAGAATGCAGCCTGAGCGGTGTGAGCGAGCACGGCAACCTGAGTTGGACGGCGCTGGAGGCGGCGCCGGCCCTGCACCCTGACTGCACCTTCACCATTCCGAAGCCACCCTCGCGTCGGGGGTTGTTGGTGACCCTGACGCGGCTCAACATCGCCGGCGCCCCTGACGAGTGCCAGGACGCCTTCCTGCAGGTCGGTGACGCTCGTCTCTGCGGCAAACTCGAGGAGCAGAAACGCACCCAGGTCTACCGACCTGACCCTGAAGGTGCCGGACTGGCGGTCAGGGTGCACGCGGCCCGCCAGCGCGGCCTCCCCGTGCACTTCGCCTTCACCTTCAGGGCCGTCGACGCGTGTTACAACCTGACGCTCACCAAGCAAAATGCCACCTTTGTCACTCAGGTACTTGAAACCTTTTCAGGGTTTGATTTTTGAATTATTCTCGCCAAGACAACTCCAACGATATGCTGGAAGGGCGCTTTTGTCTGAATTGTCCGAACCGTCCCGACGCCATCTTGAATAAAATGCCAGACTGTCCCGGATTTCTAATGGGCACAACGTTGCTAATATTTGTCCAAAGATACATTTCCAGCATATCGTTAGAATCGCCTCAATCAGCTCTATCTTAAAATGCAATAGTTGGAAAGGTACGTGATGGATTTTTTCCTCAGGTGGCGTCCGACCTGAGTTGCTCGGTCAATATACACGTCGCCTATGGCTACAGAGTGGCCCTGAGCTTGGAGCTGCGACCTGCTGAGCACAATGAAGTTTTGGAAGCAGAAGATGAGAATCTCTGGGATGAGGTTCTTCTGGATGATGAGTACACCTCAGAGGTACACAATTTTTCAATTAAAATAGTGAAGGTTCATAAAACAGTAAAAGAAATATTCAACTGAAAATTGTATTAGATCAATCCACTATTATTGAGAAAATCCGTTAATTAAATAATATTACATTTTACCTCGATATTAAAAAAATGAAGGCAAACCTGTTGAAAATTCTCAATATCAGTGAATCAGTGATATCAATATTAAGTGATGATTATTTGATTCGTGATCAGAAAGTTCAAGGCCACCCTGAGATATCTTAAGAAAACTATTATTAAAAGAATTGAGTGATCTATCTTTTTTCTTATTTTAAAATTATTCAAATTTGATTTAATATTTTGCAGGACGAAACATGTCACGGCCTGCAAGTTCGCATTTCTGGGCCGGACGGCGAGTTTTGGACGCAGTGCGCGTCCCAACTGGGGCCAATCGTGCGTCTGATCGGCCGGTCGAACCAATTGCTGATCACCGTCGCCACCATCAACCCCCTGGACACCATTTCCCAACTCCACATGAGGTAAAATAAAAAAAAAAATAAAAAATGCGGGTCAGAGATATCAACAGGTTATTTCCATTGGGAGGCGATGGGCCGAGCGGAAATGGCGCGCTCTCTTGTGAATCGGCGCCAAATCGTTCGAATAATTGAATGGCCAATTAGTCTCGCAACCCTTTAAAGACCCTCTCTACAATTTTTATTCCTGCACTTGAAAGCAGGTGCAAAAATAATTTTATCTTTTCGCTCCAAATGTTTTGAAATTTATAGTTAGGGTATTTTGTGTGGGGAAAAGATAAACCTGCCAAAGGGACGAATTTTTTTTCCAATACAATATATCATTTTGATCATTGAAATTCTCCCCCTTTCACTTTCAGCAATAACGAGTTAATTGTAACTGTTTTTTTAGGTACTTTTCGATCGCCCGTCCTGAGCTGACTGCAGATTGTCCCGGCTACGGCTGGACGAGTGTTTCGGACGCGAGTTGCGTGTGGCCGCAGCTTGAAAGGGCGCTGCCGTGGGCGCAGGCGGCCAAGGAGTGCGCGAGGAAGGGCGCTCACCTCGTCGTCGTCGACTCAGCCCACACGCAGACCGCCCTGGACGCAATCTTGACGCAAAGGTTAGCAAATTGCAACTGTTTCTAAAATTTTCTGGCCAAAAGTTGAAAGTTTTTGAACCAAACAATTTTTTTATGGATATTCCTACAAATCAGAATTTGAGCACGGATTAGCAGATATAGTAAAAAAATGTTGTAATATGACTATGGGAATTTTTTGAAGAAGTTGAATTTCGAGGAGAATCATGGAAATGAAGAGATCGGGCTTTTTTTTCGTCGCAGAAATTGTTTTTATTCCAAACAGAAAGGGAAAATAATTTTGAATGGTCTTGAGTCTTGATGAAATGCTAAATTGTAAAATGGCAAATCTGTGGTTCAACTGTCCTCATCTTTCTACTGATCAATCATATTTTACGAGAAGTGAACAAATTAAATAAGGAAGATCTTCACTCTTCAAGGTTTCGATCAATTCTCTAAAAGGTAAATTTTTCAAGAGGAAAAATTTAGCTCAAGGCGGCTCAAGGCTTGAAAGTCGTGGTTTAGCTTTGAAGAACGTTTATTCTGTTTTCAAATAATATTTTGTTTATTTTCAACTTTGAAACGTATTATGATTTTAAGAAAACAATACTTCACAAGTTTTATTGAAATTGATAAAGTTCGTGGAAACTTGAATGACCTTTTTATCACAATAATTATTCTTTTGAATTTTGAAAATAATCAAAATTTTATTTATAATAAAGACTTGAAGGATGAAATTAACTTCTCATTTATCAAATTTTAATATTACATGGACTGAAAGTGTTTAATATTTAATCAGTGGGTATACATCATACATAAATATTTCAGCACACATTTACAATCTTAAGTACAAAGAAATATTGAATTTCCACTAAATTTTGTTTTTTAGGAATAATTTCTACAAAAGTGGCGTGAATTGTTCCTTTTTCGTCAAATGAATTGATTTTGGAAACAGAAAAACGCACTTTGTTGCGGTCGAAATATTGATAGACTTTTATTGCTTTTCCGTGTTTCATTGAGGAAATTTTATTCAGAGATCGATTTCCGATTTCCAGAGGCGTCCATTAGCGGCAGATCGGGTTTATGTTTGAGGAAAACTGCTGGGTTAAACAAATATTCTACAACGGCATGAAACTATATTCAAGAATAATATTAATTGATTAATCAAAGTTAAAGGTTTATTTTAGTAAATTTTGAAAAAGGAAGAACACCGTTGGTAATATAATATTTTATTATTTCAGTTTAACATTTTTTTAGATGTAATAATTAAAAAAAATGTACAAGTTGTCAATTAAGTATTTTATTTTTGTCCTGCAAGAAGCAAAAATTTTTTTATTAAAAATTAGAGATGACAGATGACATCTTTTTTGCACATTAAAAAATAATAATAAATTGACTATTATTATGTTGTTGGTGAAAGTTGTCACACTGACATTTGTATACCATTTTTTTTAATTATAAAAATATTCCCTGTCATTTAAAAATTATCAAAGTGTTATTTTTACACAGCTTGGAGTGCATTTTTTAGTATGGAAAAATTTGGAATAACCTCAATAATAATAATAGTTTCAATTTTTAAATTTGATTTTTATGAGTAGGGGGGAAATGTATGTTGAACCCCAAATTGACATCCGGTCTGACGTCACGTATGGGCATAATGTTATACATGGGCAAGGGTATATGGGCAACGGTATATGGGCAAAGGTACATGGGCAAAGGTATATGGGCAGCCCGCCAGCCATAGGCGGTGGTAAATATAATTTATATTTAATTATTAATATAATTATTGTTAATTAAATGGTAGGCAATGGCGTCATTCGAATGACGCATTTAATTTATTATTAAATAAGAAATATAATTGAAAAGCCTCCCCTCCCCCAATCCAAGTAATGGTCAGCCCCGCAAGATAATAATTTAATTTAAATTAAAAAAAGGCCCAACCCGGCCCACGACAGGCCCGCGCCAGGCCCACGGCAGCCCATCGCAACCAAAAATAATACATAATTTATTGAAATCAATGAAATTCTCGGTTTAATTGCTCGTCGGACCACAAAAATCTAGGTCCCCCAGCGTTACCAAGTCAAGATTTTCTAATGAAAAGGCGCCAGTGGCGGCGGGTTAATCAAATATGAGGATACATGTGCAGTCAACTTATGCGCACTTGAGGAAAGAAATAGTAATAATTTCATGCTTGCCCCTACGGTTTTCGAGTGAGGGTTGGGGATTAATGGTAGTTAACACGCATGCGCTGGGATTTTTAGGCTGTAAGCAAGCGCCTGGAGGGGAAAAGATGTACGTGATTTTTGGATGATCCGGTCCATCGTCATACTCAAGAATGCATATGATCGCATGTGGTTATGTACGGATGATGCGTGCAAAAGTGATTTAATTGTTTGCTATTGCATCTCGATTGCAACTAATCCATTGTTTTACATTTGTTTAGTTTGTATTTCATTATTTTATTTAACATTTTAACTATTTTAATGCGCAATTAGATTTTATTTTACAAATCAAGGAGTCTCACATGCCTTTATTAATCGGCACGCGACAAATTACGTCATTATTATATAACACGCCAGCGGAAGACTGATGACATCATTAAACTTTTTCACGATGCACATTACGTCACGTGTATCAAAATATGTGTAAGAATTATATAATTACATTCGATTAAATTCAAAATTGATGGGCTTTTTTAAAATGCAGTAAATATAACCAAATATATAATGCAATTTTATGCAATGCTGCTAAAGATGAAATGAGATGAATACATTTCATACTTTTTTGTTTTTTTTCTGACACATTTATGTTCAATTTGCTAATTTATTGAAAGATTTTCTTTTTTCTAATACATTTTTGTTCACCAATTTTGTGAAAGATTTTCTTTCCTTTTATTTTTTCATTTCTCCATTAATCGATTATTAAACTGTTCTTTACATTGACAATGGTTAACTTTGGATAAAGATTCAAAGATATGATAGGAATAGAAATTAATATGGGAGAAATATTTGGAAAAAAAAAGTTTTTATTACACTAAAAATATAATCCAACATTGGATATTTAATTTTCATTAATTAATTGTCCGTCATATTTGTTACAAACAAGCTTCCCCGAAGGTGTTCCCATCAAGAATTCTTCGTAAATTTTCTTGATCATCCAATATATTTAGAAAGTCGGTGAAATATATATGGCGATTCACATTGTTAAAACGTGGTGTGACCTCCAAATCGAATCGCCCATCCTGGTTCTCGATTCCAAAGCAATTCTATTTTTCAGCATCTTTAGTACTAATTACAATAAAATCTATAATCTTAAATTATTTTATTTTCCAATCATGCGCACTTTAACAAAATTTTATATTTGGATACAAATTTATCCATTTTTTTGTTTATCATTTAATATTTCTGTGCCCAAGTGACGCAATTCAGTTTTATTTAAAGATGCAAATGTGCTGGGCTGATCCAAATTCATTATTTCCTCAATTGTATTCAAATTTTCTTCACGAATTTTACGGTAAAAAAAATTAACTTCCCTCTCTATCTTCTGTAATCTGGAATACGCTGTTTTTAATTCGTTTTGATTGGAAGTAAGATAAGAATACGTTTTGTAGCCAAAATAAATTGAAGTGGCATGAAAATCACGCATTGGAAGATGATTACGATGAATGTAATTTTTTATTAATTGAAGTTTCTTTCTCGGACCAACGCTAATTCCAATTAAAATTAAATCATATCTCTCGCCAGGTACATAACCGTAATATTTTTCCTGAGAAGTTTTGAAATAACTTTCTAATCTATAAACGTTCAGTGCATCGAAAACGTCGGAAGTCAGTTTCATCTCCCCATTACACAACTTCAGGATGCAACGAGACTTTAGTCTGTTAGAACAGCAAAGTTCAGTTTTATATTTAAAACCTATTGTAACGGACGCACACCTAAAGTTATATGTCTTCTCAAGAAACATTCCAGCACTTTACTGAATTCATGAATTGAAATTCAGTTCAATAGATTCTATAGATTCTCTCGAAAAATCTCATGGATAAAATGCATTAATCCGGGGGGGGGGGGGGTGCTGTTGTGCAGCTAATTAATAACCCCAACCCTTCTACCACTTGCCCCCTTCGCCTACTAATAAAAACACCAGCCACCTTACCCGGTTTTTATTAGTAGGCGAAGGGGGCAAGTGGTAGAAGGGTTGGGGTTATTAATTAGCTGCACAACAGCACCCCCAACCCCCCCCCCCCCCCCCCCCGGATTAATGCATTTTATCCATGAGATTTTTCGAGAGAATCTATAGAATCTATTGAACTGAATTTCAATTCATGAATTCAGTAAAGTGCTGGAATGTTTCTTGAGAAGACATATAACTTTAGGTGTGCGTCCGTTACAATAGGTTTTAAATATAAAACTGAACTTTGCTGTTCTAACAGACTAAAGTCTCGTTGCATCCTGAAGTTGTGTAATGGGGAGATGAAACTGACTTCCGACGTTTTCGATGCACTGAACGTTTATAGATTAGAAAGTTATTTCAAAACTTCTCAGGAAAAATATTACGGTTATGTACCTGGCGAGAGATATGATTTAATTTTAATTGGAATTAGCGTTGGTCCGAGAAAGAAACTTCAATTAATAAAAAATTACATTCATCGTAATCATCTTCCAATGCGTGATTTTCATGCCACTTCAATTTATTTTGGCTACAAAACGTATTCTTATCTTACTTCCAATCAAAACGAATTAAAAACAGCGTATTCCAGATTACAGAAGATAGAGAGGGAAGTTAATTTTTTTTACCGTAAAATTCGTGAAGAAAATTTGAATACAATTGAGGAAATAATGAATTTGGATCAGCCCAGCACATTTGCATCTTTAAATAAAACTGAATTGCGTCACTTGGGCACAGAAATATTAAATGATAAACAAAAAAATGGATAAATTTGTATCCAAATATAAAATTTTGTTAAAGTGCGCATGATTGGAAAATAAAATAATTTAAGATTATAGATTTTATTGTAATTAGTACTAAAGATGCTGAAAAATAGAATTGCTTTGGAATCGAGAACCAGGATGGGCGATTCGATTTGGAGGTCACACCACGTTTTAACAATGTGAATCGCCATATATATTTCACCGACTTTCTAAATATATTGGATGATCAAGAAAATTTACGAAGAATTCTTGATGGGAACACCTTCGGGGAAGCTTGTTTGTAACAAATATGACGGACAATTAATTAATGAAAATTAAATATCCAATGTTGGATTATATTTTTAGTGTAATAAAAACTTTTTTTTTCCAAATATTTCTCCCATATTAATTTCTATTCCTATCATATCTTTGAATCTTTATCCAAAGTTAACCATTGTCAATGTAAAGAACAGTTTAATAATCGATTAATGGAGAAATGAAAAAATAAAAGGAAAGAAAATCTTTCACAAAATTGGTGAACAAAAATGTATTAGAAAAAAGAAAATCTTTCAATAAATTAGCAAATTGAACATAAATGTGTCAGAAAAAAAACAAAAAAGTATGAAATGTATTCATCTCATTTCATCTTTAGCAGCATTGCATAAAATTGCATTATATATTTGGTTATATTTACTGCATTTTAAAAAAGCCCATCAATTTTGAATTTAATCGAATGTAATTATATAATTCTTACACATATTTTGATACACGTGACGTAATGTGCATCGTGAAAAAGTTTAATGATGTCATCAGTCTTCCGCTGGCGTGTTATATAATAATGACGTAATTTGTCGCGTGCCGATTAATAAAGGCATGTGAGACTCCTTGATTTGTAAAATAAAATCTAATTGCGCATTAAAATAGTTAAAATGTTAAATAAAATAATGAAATACAAACTAAACAAATGTAAAACAATGGATTAGTTGCAATCGAGATGCAATAGCAAACAATTAAATCACTTTTGCACGCATCATCCGTACATAACCACATGCGATCATATGCATTCTTGAGTATGACGATGGACCGGATCATCCAAAAATCACGTACATCTTTTCCCCTCCAGGCGCTTGCTTACAGCCTAAAAATCCCAGCGCATGCGTGTTAACTACCATTAATCCCCAACCCTCACTCGAAAACCGTAGGGGCAAGCATGAAATTATTACTATTTCTTTCCTCAAGTGCGCATAAGTTGACTGCACATGTATCCTCATATTTGATTAACCCGCCGCCACTGGCGCCTTTTCATTAGAAAATCTTGACTTGGTAACGCTGGGGGACCTAGATTTTTGTGGTCCGACGAGCAATTAAACCGAGAATTTCATTGATTTCAATAAATTATGTATTATTTTTGGTTGCGATGGGCTGCCGTGGGCCTGGCGCGGGCCTGTCGGGGGCCGGGTTGGGCCTTTTTTTAATTTAAATTAAATTATTATCTTGCGGGGCTGACCATTACTTGGATTGGGGGAGGGGAGGCTTTTCAATTATATTTCTTATTTAATAATAAATTAAATGCGTCATTCGAATGACGCCATTGCCTACCATTTAATTAACAATAATTATATTAATAATTAAATATAAATTATATTTACCACCGCCTATGGCTGGCGGGCTGCCCATATACCTTTGCCCATGTACCTTTGCCCATATACCGTTGCCCATATACCCTTGCCCATGTATAACATTATGCCCATACGTGACGTCAGACCGGATGTCAATTTGGGGTTCAACATACATTTCCCCCCTACTTTTATGAATTACAGATTTTTAAGTCAAAATTAATTTTGTAGTATTTTTAACTTGATTTCTCAAACTTTTATAAAGAACCTTGGATTTCCCACCAAACATGAGGGAAGAAAATCAATATCTGGAAATGCTTCTCTCGTCTCGCAAGACCAACGCGCAGATTAACCCTTTTTCCGGTCCGTCGCCGATTTTTATTTGAGCAAAAATATTCCTATCAAGTTTCATCTTCCACTTGAACTCCGCCACAATTATCGATCTGAACAGCAGGGGAATGAAAAGTTCCTTAAAAACAGAAAGAAAACAACACAAGCTTCCATCGAACTATAAAAAGTTATGACTCTAAAAATTAATTTTATTTCCCTTTGGAAAATTACCAATTTCAGTTTTAAAATACAGAAAATTTGTTAAAAATTGCAAAAGTTTCTAGTTTAAATCTGTTTTTGAAATCATAAATTAACCTTCACATTTCATAAATTTGTATTTTAAAAATTATCTTTCAAATTTACCCAATTTTAGGTCGTTTCTCAAAACCTTTGGCAAATATCTTTGAGAGTAATTAAAACTCTTCCTTATTTGTCTTTTTTTCACAGCCCTTTGTACTCTGAGGATTCAGCCTTCTGGCTCGGCGCGACGGACCGAATTCGCGAGGGAAATTTCCATTGGAGCGACGGCCAACCGCTTTCCTACACAAGTGAGTGCCAAATTTTGTCCCATCAAAAGAAGCTCAAATATTTCTGTTCGCAGACTGGTTTCCGGGCTGGCCTGAGTTTTCGCACTACAACAAGCAGCCCTCAGACGACGGTCTTGGTGAGCAGGACTGCGTCGAAATGCGTCGCTCGTTCTTGCTTCCTGGCTCCGTCGCCGCGAAACTGGCGCCGAACCTCATGTGGAACGACAGGGACTGCGCCGCCTCAAACTTCTACGTCTGCCAAATCCACAAACCGGGAGGTCAGTATTGAATCTTTGAATATAAAATTGAAAAGTTCTGATTGAGACAATTCCAACGATATATTGTAAGGGTACTCCTTTTGGACAAAAAATTGCAATAATCACCATTTTCCAAGAGGGCTGCCATTATAAAAAAAATCAATTACTAATAAATCGTTCAGTTAAGACTGCATTGATATTTACTGCAAATTTTACCATTTATGTCAAAATAAATAATCGTCCAGGACTTTCATTTTTTCTTATAATTCAGAGAGTTATTTTTAATTACTTGCTCATCCCCAGCTCATCCCTTTAAATTTGTTGCATAGCTTCGGACGCAGCGGAGAGCCGGACGGCGTCGCCTCCAAAGCGCGAGGAGTCGTGCAACCGAAACATCACCCTGGGTCGCGACCTGGGCCTGAGTTCTTCGGCCGTGGTAACCAGCCCTGGCTTCCCCCACTCCTACCCTGACAACGTGCGCTGCCTCACCAGGGTCTTCGCACCTCAGGGCTATCACGTCGTCATCGACTTCGAGGAACTCGTCCTAGAGAAGGAACCAATGTGAGTACAAAATTCTAGTTTTTTTTATTCATGCATGTAAATAAAAATATAGAATTTTCTCAAGATTAGGTCTGAGATTTATCGGCGAGAAAAGTGGGTCAGGAAAGTTGGGAGCGTTTTGCTTTTCCGTGAGATTGTTGACACGGTTTCGAGTTGCCTGGGAAAGTTTGTTTTGATACGATCAGCGCCGCCCAGCAACAGGTCATTTGTTTCCGTGTTACACGCCAAATCGATTAGTTTGCCCGCGCCGACTGCAATTTTCTACAACTTCCTTAAAGGACAAGAGTTGAAAAAAAACTATCTCTTTAGCTTGGATTTTTCAAATATTTGTCAAACGTAAAGGATTAAAAATTCATCATTTTAAGTTAATTTTAGAAACTTGTTGGCGTTTTTCCGTGGCGGCCATATTGGAAAATGGTCGGCACTCGACTCGAAGTTTATTAAGAATTGTATGTTTTTCAGATTTTTGTCCTGATTCGGAAAGATCAGGATTCTAAATTGTTGTTTAGAATGAATTCATGTTGAAATTGATCTACATAAAAACTTTAAATCAACTATTTTGGCCGCCATCTTGGAAAATGGCCGGAATGGAAAATTGAATACTGAAAAGTCAATTTTCATCCAAAACTACCCTTCCAACATATCGTTGAAATCGTCTTGACCTCAAGATTTTATATTTTCATTTAATAAAATGTCTTCAGAAATTGTATTGTATTCAGGAAATCAGGAATTAATTTTACTTGAAACAGAACTTACGAGAAAAAAAAGCATATTTCATCATAAAATCTCATTTTTTTTCTTTGGATAGTTTTGATAATGTTGTTCCTAAATCAACTTTGAAGTTTTTAGTCGCCCCGGCAGTGCTGATTGCAATTAGCTCCCTCGCTGTGAAGTTTATCAGCAGGTTGTAATATCCGTTTTGATTTAGCGCGGCTTCAAAGCAACTCGCTGTAATTTTCAATTAAGCCTCTTGATTTACGGCCAAAAGTTTCTCGGCCGTCCGTCAAAAATTAATCAGCAAAAAAGCACTCACTGGAATTGCGTTTGACGAGAGGAGAAATCGATTTCTCTGAAGGGCTGGTCAACTCGGGAAAAGTGCAAAAAGTTTGATCAGCCGAACATATTAAATTTAGAGGTAACAAATTATTGATTCACATTTTCGCTCGTTAAGCTGTAAAGGCTATTAACTTAATGGATTGTAATGGACTTGGAAAATTACTGAGTGCGCTAATTGACCAAATAATTTGATAAACCAAAAACCTGAATAAATTTGAGTAAAATTTGGAAGCAGATTAAAATTTGATGTGGAGAAAAAGTATGAAACAGATCAATAGATATAATTTTGGGAAACATTTATTTTGATAACAATGACGCTTTGATAACATTTTGACACCATGATTGAAGGTAACTTGACCCTGACATGGTGTTTAAAAAGAATTGCCATTTTCATCTGTTGAATGAAATTGAATGCAAAAAAATTATCTCAAGTTTTATATTATTATCTTTTAAGAGCTTTGAAAGTTCCCATTGTAAAATAACGCTCATGAACTTTCATACTTTTTTCAATCCTGATATCTTAAATAGGTAAATTATTTTACTAAATAAAGCAAACTTTGCCAATCACCCTGAGAATGTTTGAAAAAAATTTAAATTTTAGATGGAATGAAAACTTAATTACAATGTTATTGAGCTTGACAAATTATTTTCAAAAGGACTAAATTTCCCTGTGTTGTTTTCGGTCCTCTCGGCCGGGCAGTCCATTTGCGGCTCTCATGGAAGTCAAATATTTAGAGAGGCCCGCCCGTGTTGGTGTTGCTCGCCGACGGTGACCTCTGGCATATCCGAACTTGTTGCGCTCTCGCCCAGTGTGGAAAATCGATCCCTCCGCGGGGGGTGGGGGGGAGGCGCCGCTCCCGACAACTCAAACTGGGACGCACGCAAATCTCAAAGTGCAACTGCTTATCACACCATTAAATGAGGAAAAAATTTACATAAATTATTCAAAGAGAACATCGGCAGATTTTAATTTCTAATGAAATTGTTCATAAAATTCCGCTTTAAAGAGATTAAGGAAAGGTGATGATTAATATTTTTTTCTATCAAATTATGTGCGCAGTGCAGACTTGGTTGGAAATATTCACTGCAAATGAAATATTTTCCTAATGTTAAGCAGTCTTTCTTTGATTTACTTTTAATGTCACTAATTTAAATTTTCACGTGATTTTAATGAAACGTTAATTGCGATAAATCAAATAAAATATTCATGTTCGCCCTTAATTCTGAAATAAAATTATGTTTAAATTCTTACGTTGTGTTGAATTGCGAGGGCTGGAGACCTACTGATGAAGCGTAATTTTCCTAGTGTCGACCTACAAATTGCATGTCAATTGAAGGAATACCAAAAACCGTGGCGCCGTTGAAGTATTTACATAAGTGGTGGTGTTTAGACTTTGCAATTAGAAATGTACTGTCAATCAAATCATGCGTCTGCTGCTTTGTTGCGTCATATTCACAAAATCTCTCCCAATCAATTGGCATCAAAGTCCGAACATAACCGGCCCATAAATTATTGCGTTTTGTATTTCTAGTTGAAAATAACAATCAAAAAATTGATTTTCTTTATCATCAAAATCACTGGGGAAAAAATTATTTATCAGTGGCTCATACTGAGATATTTGTAACATCACGGCGTTGCTTAACAATTTTGATACAACATTTTCTTCAATTTTGAGTTGAAAAAGTTGGGAAGAAATATTTTAAAAATTATTTTTTTGCAACAATATATTAAGAAAATATCAAAACAGAATGATCTTTAATGATATTTTTATAATGGCTTTGAAAATAAAGAAAATTAAGAATAAAAGGACGTTGCAAATGCAAATATTTAGGATCAACTTATGTAAAATTACAAATTAAGATCTAGCTGTATTGGTAAATTCTGAAGCCACATCTAAAATTGTTCATGCTGAAACGTTGAGAACTAACAGATCGCGAAATTAATTAAAACTATGTTGCGGCTCAAAATAAAAGCCAGAAGTTAAAGGATTATTTATTGTTAGAGCAATTGGCAAAAATCGAAATGAAAGAGAAATACAATTGTTGGTAATAAAGGAGTCTGTTTTAGTTGCTTTGTGTTGAATTATGAGGGCTGCGAATTGGCCGAAGAAGCGTAATTTTTGCAACGTTCCCCTAAAGTCGACCTTTGAATACAAATTCGCTGCGTCGCGCAAAGAGATCCATGCACACTCTTTGACTCATCTTCAGTGTTAGACTTTTTCTATAAAATATAAATGTGCCGTGTGACTCATCAATCAACAGCGCTCTGCTGTTGTAGGTGCGTCCGTTTGCAAAGATAACAAGAAGATTGCAGCAGCATAGCCTAGAAAGCCTCTCGCAGATCAAAATTTCGTGCAGTTTACATTACAAATGCCGAAAAAATGACTTAACCCTTTTCAATAATCGTTTTTCTAATTTTTACAAGTTAAATTGATTATTTTAAATATAAATGATTTACGGTATTTTTTAATTGAAACTAATTCATAATTGAATAATAATTCATAAAAGTATATAAAAAAATATAACCCTCTTCAAATGTGTTAAAAATAATAATCGTTAATTAAAATACAAATGTTGCTTTGAAATTTAAATAAAATATTATATTTTCAGATTTCTCTATTGAAAATGATTATTCTTCCACTCACGCTTACTTTCATGATTCTTAAATTTAATTTAAAATACCTTATCCTTAATGATTGGAAGTGAAGAAGACGGACCTTGTTCCTTATCGAAAAAAATTCAACGAGGACAATGCCCATTTCCTTTTATTCCATGATCGTCTCCTAGAGTGTCTATTTCGTCTGTTTTTAATTAAAAAATTTTGTTTTGTGCGTTTCAGGTGCACATACGACTTTCTGGAGATTTCTGAGCCGGAGGAGGAGGAGGTGGCGGCGCGGCGATTGTGCCACGACTGGAGCGGCAAACTGAAGCTGCTGCGCCACACCAGCAGGGGTTCGCAGCTTCAACTTCTCTTCTCCTCAGACTATTCGCACCGCTTCGCCGGATTCAAGGCCCGCGTTTTCATGGAAAACGGTAAACATAAAAAACCTATAAAAATAAAAAATAAAAAAAAAATCTATCTGTTTGGGAAAAAAATTTGAAAAATACGTAAAAAATTGGAAAGTAGTAGATTTTTTAATCCCACAGTAGTGAAATTTTCAAGAATTTCTAATTATTTGAATGAAATTTTACTAATGAAGGTTATCTTCAAAATTTTTGGTTTTTTTTACGCATTATAATAATTTAAAAAAATTGGAAGTATTTACAATTTTGGAGAATATTAAAATAAAAACTCGTTTTTGGCGACAGACGAGGTCGAGTGCACAGAGAGCCGTGAGATAAACTTCAACAACTCGTGCTACCTGTTCATCGGCTTCCCGGAGGTCACGTGGAGCACCGCCAGACAAGTTTGTCGCGGCATCAATGTGAGTGAATTGTCCAAAACAATATTATAGAAAGAAAAATTTCAATGCCAAAGCTACAAGTGGGATAATGAGCTTAGCCAATCAAAGGTTGCAACAATCAAGTTGACTATTTCTCGACAGGTTTGGTCACCATTCTATTCGTCGTGACCTGACCTTTCCAACGATGTGTCACACTTGATGTTTTAAAGCCGTTTAGAATTTAGTGGTGGGGGAACCTTTCTGGCCAATCAGATCGCTTGATTCCTTTAATCGTCGTTTTCTTTACAAATCCTTAGATGACCCCGACTTTTCAGGTCGTCAATAGTTCCATTATGATCAAAACTTTCCAAAATTGTGCTTCTCATTCAGGTATACCACCCGATTTTGAGTTTAAGGAGGAAATCTTAATAAAAAAAAACATTTTTCCAAAAATGTCAAAAAGAGGCATGAATTTTGCATAAAATATTTATAATTTCTTAAAATTTTCAACAATAACGAGATATATCCACTTTAATAAATTTAGTTTTGCATTACACTGGACCCGCATATGTTGTAATTAGAGGAAGACCCTTTGTGCAATGGACAGAGTCGGAGATCAAACGCAAATTAGCCGCCATTGATCGCATTCAACTGCGAATTTCGAACTACAAAAGCTTTACTCTGGAAATATCGACGAGTTTTCGCTGAATCTCGGTTGATGAGAGGTTCATGTTTGGGGAATTAAGGGATGATTAATCACTTCCGAGAAACTCCTGATTAATTACACGAGCGTGCCAATCTCACCTTTATTTTCTTCTTTTGTTGGCCGAGATTTAATTGGAATTCCGAGACAAACAATGGAGAGAATTAAGTCTTTTGTCTTTGGCGAAATTGCAGGCCGAGCTGGCGAGCGTGCACTCGAGCGACGAGAACGCCTTCCTCGTCTCGGCCGTTCGCAACTCGGAGCATTATTCGGCAAACTCGTTTTACTGGCTCAGCGGCCGAATCGACGCCGACAAACTCGGCTGGACCGACAACTCGAAGGCCTCCTTCACAGGTGAGCAAAATATTGTTTAAAAAAATTTTTATTTTTAACAAAGATAATATTGAAGAATTGATAATATTTACAAATTATTGATTTGATGGACTAAAGTTATTAATTTTGTTTGGCATTATTTTCAGACACAAGTTTTTATCATTGGGAAATTAATTTTGGTTATTCTTAAATTAGAAATTATATCCAAATTTTGATTGATTGATTTTTTATATATATAATGGCAGAAAATGATTTAATCTGTGAAAATTCGTTTTTGTCTGAAAAGCTTGGCCGGTGGGGTTGGAGGGGGGAAAGGAGGAGCGGTGTCTGGCCGTGGGTTGGCAGGCGTCGCCAGCCGCAGGATTATCCAGCGGACTTTACTGGCAGGCCCAAAGATGCTCTCTCGTCGGCGGCTACGTCTGTCAAAGGAGAATCGCAGGTGAGCCAGGAACTAACTAATCCCTAAAAATCCGGCACAAAAGTAAGTTAGTTTGGCACAATTTTGTTATAAACAAGGGTTAAACTCTAGATCTTTATATAATACTTTTTATTAAATCAAAAATTCCAGTTTCAACAACTTCAGTAATTTACAAATTTATTTCCTTATTAAATATAATTTAATTAACAATGGTCAATTTTATGATACTTTGTTGACCAAAACCTTGAAAACTGCCATTTTTTTAAAGTAATTCAATTTCGAATGGATTAAACATAAAAAGTTTGACTCCAACTTGCTGAAAGAAGCCTCATTTTTTTACTTTTAAATATTATTTTCAGTCATTAGAATTAAAAAAAAAATACCTAAAATCTCGGTTCATGGGAATTTTAAATTAATTTGAAGAAATTTATTATTTCAAACTGCTGCAAAATAATGTTCGTTTCCTTTGAAACAAATAAAATCTAAGATATCACTATTTTTTAATCTTCTCATTTATTTATTTTTTTAAAATGTACCTCCAATTTTCTGTCCCATTCCTATATATTTAGGAACATATTGAAGGGACGAAAAATTTTAGCCAATCTTAGTTAGTCTAATTTACTTTGATTACGATTACTCTTTTTTTCATTTAACACGGAAAAAATATCTTCAAAACTGCGTTTTTCTCAATATTGTATGAATCAAAATGAGCCTTGTGGTCTTAATTCTTAGTTTTTGTGGGGGAATTTCCTCTTTAAAAAAATCTTAATTGGATGTGACAAAGTTTGATAATATTTGCAGATCGTTCGGCCTCTTTGAGGGGCAACTCGAGCGTGGAGGGCTCTTCAGGCGTGCTCGAGTCACCAAACTTTCCACTGGCCTATCCGCCAAACGCTGATTACTGGGTCAGAATCGTCGGCCCGGCCCAGTCGCGCCTTGTCGTCTCGTTCAAGCAGCTTGACCTGGAGCCGCAGAACGAGTGTCTTTACGACTTCATCGCGTTGTGGAACGCAGCAGAGTCCGAACCTATGAACACCCACTGCGGCACAAAGTCAGCCGAAGAGCTCAAAACGTGTGTGAATATTTTTGCCAAATTTGCATCATTAATCTTTAAAACGCCAGAAAGATTTGAAAAAAAAAAAAAATGGCTTTTTGGTGGCAAAAAAATAAAATATTTTCAAATTTCTTATTTTTTTTACCAGTAAAAATTGCTTTTCTATGATGAAAAATTTTTAAAATTTTTTCTAAAGACGTTCTAAATTTTTAAATTCACTAAAATTATACAATTTTCACTTCATATCAATAAAATTGGCATAAAAATTTGCAAAAGAACATCTATCTTGATACATTCTTAATTTTTGTACATAACGTTTGGTGAAATTAAAAATGTTTTTATGAATTTGTCCAGGATGCGTTTTGTTTCCACGACGAATGTGATGCTGGTGCATTTTCACTCGGACTTTTCCAACTCGGCGTCCGGCTTTTCCCTTGAGTGGAAGGCCGTGCCCCTGGCCGCGTGCCCTGAGCAAACCCTGACGGCCAAAGAGGGCACCATCGAGTCGCCCAACTACCCTGACTTCCTGCTCACCAGCCTCGACTGCACCTTCAACATTCTGGCCCCAGGTAAGTTAAATTTTTTTTTAATTAATAATCAATTATAATAGATCTCAAAGCGGGAAAACGGGTGTGGCTGCATTTTGAGGCGTTCTACGTCGACTCGCAGCACAGCAGCGTGGAAGTGTCGCTGGGCAACGGCGCCACCTTCCAGCCCTTCCAACTGAAGCACCTGGCCAGCGACGGCACCTTCCTTTCCGAAGGTGAAAATCTGCAGATCCGCCTCCGAACCTCAAGCTCGGATTCGGTCATGAAGAGCCGCGGATTTCGTGTCGTCTACTGGACACGTAATTAAATTTACATTTATAGATTTTTTATTATTAATTAAAATCGAATCAAGTGAGCCAAGTGGACGAGGAGCAGATCATCAGGGTGGCGCCGAACGAGACGCTGCGACTTTTGCCGCTCAACTGGCCGGAAATGGCACCCGAGCCAGATGAAGAATTCAAATTTGCTCAAAAACTGGTAATTATGTCTCCATATTTGTTTTCTTTGCGTCCACGGTAGCTTGACAATACGTTGGAAGAAATTCCACCATTTTTTTTTTAAATTGACATTTTGTGCAGATTTTGAACTGGGGGTATCAAGAGGATTAGAACGATGGTACTTCCAATATATCGTTAAAACCGTCTCGTCAAGGCCTAAAAGAATGTATGATTTATTGAATTGTAGTTTCCGCCATTTTTCCAAGATGGCCGCCGTTTTCAGGAATAATTTTTTAATATTCCTTTAAAATTGCACTTCCAGCATATTGTTGCATTCGTCTCGTCATGCCCTTCCCAGATATGTAAATTTTTTAGCCTGAATCGTTGCCATATTCAAATATAAATATGAATGAAATTTCTAGTATATTGTTTGAATCGTCGCAATCAATGATTTCTTAAAAAAGAATTATCTACTTCCAGATTGCTCCTTTGGGATACACAATTAAGGTGACGCTGTTTGGTCTGCAAGTGGCGCAGTCGGGCAGCGCTGACTTTTGTCTGGAGGCGCAAGACTTTTATTCGGACTCTAATGGGACTTCTTGGTTTTTGTGCCGCTTCGAGAACGTCAGCGCCCCCGTCACCCTCACTTCGTACCTGAACACTCTACTGCTCACTCAGAATGGTGGAGACTTTCTCAACGCCAGCGTTACTGTTGAACAAGGTGCCGATTAAATTAAAAAAATATTTGGTCAAATTATTCATTTAAATTGCCAATTTTGATCATGTTATTTGTATTTGTTTTCATTTTGAGAATAACGTACTTTTCTTGTCCTTTGATAAATTTCAGACTTGGGTCTGCGTCAGAAACTGCTTTCGCCCTCTTTGGGGTCGGGGGTGGACTCGTGCAGCCCCGACCCCTGTCAAAACGGCGGCCAGTGCATTGCCTCGAGCAGCTTAAAGCACAAAACCCGGCCCAACACGTGCCGCTGCCCCGGCCACTTCACAGGTCACTTGCCCTCTCTTGGTTGTTGCAAGCAAAGTCTCACCTGTGTTTTCAGGTCCGTTGTGCGCCCTGACCCTGTGCGACCTGTCGCCGTGCATGTTCGGGACGTGCGAACTGACCGCGGGCAGCTTCAGGTGCGACTGCCAGGCCGGCTACAGGGGCACCAACTGCGAGGTCAAGCACCGCCCCTGCCTCGACAACCCGTGCGAGGGGAGGGGCGAGTGCGTCGAGAGGCCCGGAGGGGAGGGCTTCGCCTGCAGGTGCCACGCGTGGTGGGAAGGTAATTTTTCCACCACCAAAAAATTAATTGGGTGGTGCCTTCAGTACCACCAATAAAGGGCACAGGCCGACAAGACTTTGTCTTGGCCTGACCCTAAAAAAAAAAGAAACGCCTGCAGAAAATGGAGGTATGCAACCGGACGCGCATACGTGACGCACCGGTTGCATACATTTCAAATTTTTGAAATATTGAAATTGAGATGATTTCAATTAAATTTCTTTTATTTATTGGTCTTTCTAATAAAACTGTAATTTATCGCACTGTTTTCAATAACTTTCAAATCCTTAAAAATTTACTGCAAAATTTAAAAGAAAATCATTTGCCTAAATTAGTTTACAGATTAGCTTGTTATTTAAAAGAGACAATTTATTTTAAATATTAATTTGACTTTTTGATAGACAATTATTATTATTTTTTTTTTTAAATTTTGAAGCTGAAACTCATCTTGCAAATTTGAAATCGTTTCAGGTTCTCGATGCGAGCGGCGCATGATAAAAATCCCGTTCAAACCGCTTTCGGAGCGGATGCTGCAGGAGCCCTTCTGGTTAGGGTTGATCACTGTCATGATAGTTTTAGTTTGCATTGGCCTTGTGTGGTGTGCGAAACGACATTTCCCCGAGAAATTAGAGAAGTTGTTAGCGGAAGAGGCAGATCGAACTAGAACTAGTAAGAACAACAAAATTAACATTTCCTTCTTTCTTTCTTGCCTTCTTGTTGAGTAGAGTAGAAATATTTACACTGGTGGAAAAGAAGTCTTTTTAAACTCGCTTCAAGGAATGAAATTCATCTTGAAATTTATAAATCTAAATTGAGGCAATTTTAAAAGTAAAAATATTATCCTATTTAAAAAAAAAGTTGAAAAAGAGACTTTTTTCCGCAGTAGAGGAAATGCTTCAGTATCTTTCTATTTCACTCTGGTTGTGCCGTATATTGGTAAAAAGTTGAGGCTTGAGTGCTTTTGAAATGCTTAGGCTATGCGTTGTCGACGTCCACGTCGGCGGCGGGCGGCATGGCCTGCAGTCCGGTGGGGGCGCCGCGCAATTCCCTGCTCGGCCGCCTCGGCATCCGAAAGCCGTCGCTGCTCAGTCTCGCCCCGTCCAGCCCCAAGGACGGATCCGCCCCGCGCACGTTTAGTCTTGACGACCTGCTCAGACGTAAGCTTAATTAAAACAAAACTCGTGCAAAACGCTTTGGCTTTGATATTTTAGAACATTTTTGAATATAATTTTTTTTTAAGAAATAAATTTTTTGCGATTAAAAAATGAAATCGCTTTGGCAGGGACGCCGAGTCCAAGAAAGAAAAGAACCAATTCGACGCCGACCAGAAAACCCATCGACAAAAAGCACATTCTGCAGCAACTCGTGACGCCCACTGGCGCCGGCAGCACCATGTCTGTCAACTCGGCCGTCGAAGTCTCCAGAAAGGTGCGATTTTCTTCGAATCCTGTGGTTTGAAAAGCTTAAATTTTGGTTTCTTCAAGGTGAGCCTCGGCGAGTTGATTCAAATGAGTGACAAAAACCGGAGAACCAAAAGCGAGGAGGGACCGGCGCCGGCCGAAGCTGAAACTTCCCTTGACGCAGACACCAAAATGGAGAAAAAGGTAGTAAAAATTTCCTCATCAAGCTTGGTAAAAATAATTTTGTCTGCAATGTTATCCTCAAATTTAAAGTCTTATCTAAATATGTGCCACACTTATGGTCAATGACCTTTCATTATTCAATTCCTTGAAAGGTTAAAGGTCATGATGGTTGATGACCCTTTGTGACCAGACTCCCAATTGCTATATTTCTTGCCTCTTACTTTTTGGAACTTAGCTGAACTTTGACCTCTCTCTCAGGTGACCTTTGCCCGCTTGCTGGACAAGGTCTCGGCCGAGATGAGTTCAGGGTCGGGCTCAGGGTCGCCGCCGGCCCAGAAGAAGAAACACCTGCACGCCCAAGGAGCAGTTTCGCAACCTGACAGCGGCAGCGAGGACGTTTCGACGACCTTCTCAGGGTCCGACCCGACCTTGCCCTGCACCAGTCGCCGCCTCCTCCCCTCCAGAGGCACCCGCCTCTCGCGCATGTCCAGCGCCGACTCCATCCTTGCCATGTTCAGGTGAGCAGAGTTTTACTGAAACAAGGTGAAAGGAAACACGCTGCCAACCTGACAGGTGTTCATCCTTCCACCTGAGTATTGAAAAACGCCGAATCTAACCTGAAGCTGCTCTCTAAATCTCGCATTTCACTTCTAGACGGTAGCCCCGATCGTAGCGGTGATGGGCAAGGTCACTTGCTTCTCTTTTGATTTCCCTTTACCTTTCTTTCTCGCACCTCTGATTGGTTCCTCAAGCACCAAATTCTTCGATCGTCTCTCTGCATTTTTTCCGCCCGTGTTTATGCTCTAAATTTTATGATACTTATGTATTATTCATGAGTTTTTTTGTCAACTTTTGAACTTTGCAGGACGACCTTCAACGCCAAGACGTCGCAACCTTCGACGCCGTCCAGCCCGCAGGACGTCAGCGCCGACGAATCTTCGGCAGTCCCCACCCCTGCCTCTTCCAGTGCCCCAGACTCGCCCATGTCCATTCATCACTCAACCACCATTGAAGTTCCAGTCATCAGTTCAGGTATGAAAGGATTATCAAAATTTTTATGTCTAACAATTAATGTAAAATTTCCGCCAATTAATTCTCTCACTAAATGATTAAAAATGTATGTTTTCTTAATTTTGATAGGAGGAAACAGTTCTTCCCTTCAGCACCCTCCAACTATCCTTTTGGAAATCCCCACCATTGAGTATGGAAAGTGTTTGTCCCCAATTAAGGAGATGCCAACGCCCATTCCGTCACCTGCACCCACTCCCCTCCTCGCCCCCCGCCGTAACAACAGCAAGGAGAGGGTAGACGATGAGGATGAGGCCCTCAGGATCGAGGTCCTGAACCCTAGTCCGGTGACCTCGCCCTCTACCCCCACCCTGAAAGGCCTCTCAGTAACGTCGACGGCCACCCTGTTGTCTCCGAGCAGCGCCAAAATGCTCAGGAGCACTCCCCCCTCTACCCTGCAAATCCCCACCATCTGCTTCCCTGACGACGAGCAGCAAGCCCCGCCCCTTGTCATCCCAGTCTTGATGGTGCAAACTCCCTCGCCGCCGACCCTGCCGTCAGGGTCGCCGCCCCCTCAGGGTAAGAGAGGTCTGACGGCCAAGAAACTATTGCGCGACCTGATGGCCGACAAACCAGGGTCTTTGGAGCTTCCAACGGCCCCACCCATGATCACCGTCACAAATACCCTGAGTGAGTTTGAGAGCGATGCGGACACGCCTGCCGCCGTGGGCGTCAAGGTCGCCGCTCAGGGTCCCATGTGCTTCCTGAGTCCGTTCGCCATGCGGGGCAACGATCCCCGCACGGCCAGCGAGTCTAACCTGAGTTCGTCAGGGTACAGTTCGATGGCCAGTCAGGGGCCTTCGCGGTGCGGCTCCAGCAACCCCCTGTGCCCCTCCGAACCTGAGGAGATGACGCTCACCCCTCCGGTTCCCCCTCCACGAAAACCGTCGCCGCTGCTCAGGACGCCGGCCGTCCAGCAGGACGTCGTCGCCCAGGATGACAACAACGCCACCACCGAGTCCAACGACGAGGGCTTCGGCACCGACCACCTTGAGGACTTCAAACTCAAGTTGCCGGCAATCGTCGTGGAGGTCGCCGATGGAGGCCCCGCGCACCGGAGTCCTGTCAGCTCCCGCAGCGAGAGCCCCCTGAGCGACAAGGTGACCGGCCTTGACCGCTTCTCTCCTCTCTTCTACCACAAGTCCGAGCTGCCCTACACAGACTCGGATGGACTCTACGACTGCCCCAGCTCAGAGGTTAGTCGCATCAGGGGAATTAAAGGCGAATATAAGCAAATAGGGGAGGTTAAAATGGGCTTGAAGGTGAAATTTTTTAAAAATCATGAGGATATTTCCTGAATTAATATGAAACTTGTTAAAATAAATCCAGATTTAGGGCTAACACGAAACGAAGGGAGGTTAGGAAGGGTACGTGAGGGGAAATTTTGAAAAATACATCCTTCTGTTTGCTGGAATTTTGTAAACAATTGAAGATTATCAAAAATATTGCACAATTGAAATTCAGGTGGCGAGTGGGCAGAGCAAGGCGAGGGGAGGCAAGAAAAAGGTTCGTAGGCCGAGCAGCGCGTCGGCGGTGCAGGTGAGGGGCGGATCGGGCCTCGGCGGGCTGCTGGAAGTCCCTTCGCCCAAGGACGCCAACGCCACGTGCTTACAAAGGTGCCACAGAAAAAGTCCCAAACGCCGCGCCGCGCGTATTGCACCTCCCAGTAGCTCCTCCTCCTCAGAAAGTTTGAGTTCGTTCAGGTGAGACCGCAGCCCACTTTGTTGTTTCTGGCTTGTAATTTTATTATTATTACATATGACCTTATTTATATATTATCTCGATTTCTCTCTTCAAGCACTTTTCCTCAAAGTATGTACAAAATTAACACCTCTTTTCTTTTGACATATTTTTACTCGCTCTCTTTTTCAATAAGTTAAAATTCAGTTTCCATCTGCTCCAAAAAAGAGTTGGTTTGAAATGATTTTGGAACTTTAAAAGCTGGATATGCTCAAACCAACGCCTGTTCAAAGTCAATCGAAGCCAGCACCAACAAATCGACGAATGCACGTGTTGAATTGACAAAAAAAAATGGAAAATTTGTGAGACTTTTGGCCCGATAGTTAAACTCTGCTTTGTGTGTGCTTCTCGCTTTGCTCGTTGAATTATTTTCCCAAACCCGAACGAAACCAAAAAAGTGGAGGCTTGATTTTTCCACTGCAGGGGCAACCGAGGCAGTCCGGCCCGTTCCAAGTCGTCCAAGGACAGCAGCCCCACCAGAGCTGCAGCCAAGACTGTGAATGAGGTAAACTTTGCCTTCAATTTTCATTTCAAATTAAAAAAATTTGTGTCGAATTAACAGACCTGTTTGGTCCGTGACGGAGCCCACTTGTGGTTGACCAAAATTGAGTTGATGACAGAAATTTGACGATGAGTAATTACAACATTTTAATTTTTCATTGCTTTGGTAAAAGTTGAAAAAGTAACGCCAGATACGTCCCTTTAATTAGTTTCCCGATCGAAATGGCCGGCGGTAGTTTTTTTTTATTATTGGATTGGAAAATTTAATGTGGTCTTTTTTGGATGAAAAAAATCAGGAAGCGTCACCTGGAGAGGGTCAGGACGAGAACAACAAGCTCTGCAACGGTCCCCCGTCGACGTCGGTGACCAGGGTGGCGCGCAAAATATCAAGACTGAAAGCAATTAGCCACCAGATACGGTGAGACAACCAAATTAGCCAATTATTATTATTTTTTATTATTATTTAAAACGAACTATTTGATTCCCAAAGAACTATTTGATTTTTTCTGCATCTCTGTATAATTTCAAAGTATTTTACCCGCAAACTCTAATTTTGTTGAATCAATTTTGAGTTAAAAAAAATGTGTGCGTTGAGCGTACTAAAGGGCGATGCATTAACGGCGCCAGTTTTGCCCGTCAGGTTCCTGCGGCGCCTCGAGCTGAGCCTGCGGCGCCGCTCGGAGCAGCAACAGGAGACGTCTTCGCCGGCGTCGTCGCCGACGGCAGTGGCGCCGACGGTCGGCGCCACGTGCATGTTGCGAATGAAGGCGCGCGTCCTGGCGAGGCGGCGGATCCACTCGCGCGGAGAATTGGCAACTCTGCTGCTCGGCGCACAGCCGCACCAGGACTCGGACTGAACAACAAACTGCTGCGCCACACCTCGGTCTAAATGAAAGAAAAAGCGGCGAATATTTTTGTAATTCACTATATTTTTATGCATCGAACAACTTCGGCTTCTCAGTTTGCTCTTTATTTGCTCAAAATAAGTCTTGCAAAGATTATAATCTCATTATTATTATAATTGAACGTGCAGTATTTTGTAAATAATCTAATTGGAATAAAAGATGCTCAGATAGAAAAACTATATAGATGAATTTGTGTGTTCGTCGATATCGTTTTGGGTCTTGAAAACTCGCTCACTTTAAGTTGTCTCGTTCGTGTCCAACGCACACAAAACTTAATTCTGCCTAATCAAGAACTTTCCGCTACAAGTGAAAATTCGTCTCATACGTTTCATTGCTTAAAACAAAACCTTTGTAATTTTCGTAAATCTATGATCTGATTTGCTAAATTGAATGATAATTTGTCGTTGCAAATGTTAAGTGAACGCTTTAGTAATAATTATTGTGCACAAATCGTGTGACTCCGTCTTGATCGCCTTAAATTCTTCTGCCTCTGCACCGCAATAAAAATAAAATGTAAAAAAAATTAATGCAATACAGAACGAAAAATGGGAACAAAAGAGTTTGCCAAGCAATTATGAACAAAACCGCTAATTCTAAAAAAAAAAAAAAATGCCGGATATGGGAAAAAAATCGATGTGTGATGGAAACGTGCTATTTTCTAAGCTGTTTTCACCCGTTGAATGTTTCGCTGTTGATCTTGATGTGGACGGAGCTTTTCTACTTGGATTTCTACCCCGTCTCTTTCTATACTAATCGACGTTTTTGCACTTGACGATTTAATTCGATGTTGTGCCGTTTCAGTTAATTAAAGGAAGTGTTACATTATTAAAATCAGATCAAATTAAATAAAGCTGCAAATGTGTTTCAATTTAAATCGCACTGTTTTTAACCTTGATATATGTGTATGGTTTATTATTTTTCACAGAACAAATTGTACAATATAACCAGCATTCTTTGCGTCAGTATATAATTAATTATTAGTTTGCAACAACTTTTATGGACGAATACAATATTATACTTTATTATTATTAGTGAGAAACGAGATGAGGAAATTGGATCAGAAAACTTTTAGATATTTCAATTCGTGTTTTCACAGAAAACCTCTTTTTTTATGTTGGAAGTCAAAACCATACTTGATAGATCTCAAAGAGACGAATCAAAACCCAACTGACCAAGTTCTTTAGTGTGTTTGTCAGTTTCAATTGAAATTAGATTCATCTCAGTGAGGTCTATTAGAATTGGAGGACACATTTTAGATTTTTCCAAAACATTGACTGCGAGAAACGGGAGAAATGAGGAAGTGCTGTGTTTATTGTCAACACGATGTTTGGTATATTAATTCGATTGGATAAAAGGTTAAATTTCTCGAAAACACTCAAAGGAATGAAGTTGGCTTCTCACATGCTTGTGCTGGACAAGTTTTCGTAAGACGAGGAATTGCTGCAGGGCTCGTGGTTGCTCAGCACCACGTCCGGATACCGCTGGACAGAACTGGTGACAACAGGCTTTGGCACCAAGTCGCGGTGACTGCGTCGAGTTTTTTGTTATTAGTATTTTGAAACTATGTAGATAAGGTTTGCATCTACCTTCTAACTATAAGCTCGATGTCTCCCACGGACTGCGACAGAACAGACTGGACCTCTTCGAAAGTCTTGTCAGTAAGGCTGATTCCGTTCCACTCCAAAATCTGATCGTCTGTTGAAATTTTATTAAAAAGAAATTCAATTTGTTTGAAATTCCAAACTCACTCTCTTCAATGTCGCCGAAAGTGTCCACAACGCCTCTAGGATAAATTTTAGAAACAAAGGCTGCAAGTTGGCCGCCGGAGTTTGGGATTTCCTTGCCACCGACGACTTTCATGCCAAGTCCGTTGCCTGCGAAACGAAAATTTGATGAATGTCGCTATAATTTTGAGTAATTCGCTCTCTCACCACCGACAGTTCTGTCCTCAGGGTCGCGGGTCAGGAAGAGGTGCTTCACAGGAAAGTTGTATTTCTTCTGTGCGTGCTGTAGATCGGGTGCCTGCGCGCAAAAAAAACTTTCAGCTGGCAAAATATTCAAAGTTTGACCCAAAGGCAAAATTCAATTTCAAGCTTCATGCTAATGTAAAAACTCATTTGCAAAAGCTACGCATGCAGTTTTGAACCTAATTTTGGGCTAATTTCTAAATTAGTCCTGGAATGATACAAAATAAGCTCAAAATTTGAAGTAAATTTAAAACATTTGAAAGAACATTATATTATTGTCTCATTTATTCGATTGATTCACTTATTTTGTAAATATTTAAGTTGATTTCACTTTGATCATTGCGATAATTTGTGACATTCCAGGACTAAAGTAATTAGGAGTGTTCATTTCTGTTGAACCTGGTCTCATCAAAATTGATGAAATTACATTAAATATTTTACTAATTTTTCGTCACGAGCGTCCATACTGAGAAAGTTTTGCTGTTTGCGAGAGTGTCAAAAGTTGATTAGTGTTATTTTTACTTCCTTTGTTTAAAACATCGATATATTGAAACGAAAAAAAGTAGCAAAAGGAAAAGTGACAGAGAGAACACCTCAGGTTTGATATGAATCAAAAGTGGAGCTTACGTTCTTACTTGCGATTTCTTTGGCTGCTTGGTCCCCTCGGAGGCGCGGTGGTGGCCCCCGGAGGCGGGGTTGCCGCCCCCGCCGCGGTGCCGCTCGCTGTTCTTCAAAGGTTTGCGCGAACTGCCGCCCAGGGTGCCGTAGTTCTCAGGATACGACCTGCGCACCGTCTCCTCAGGGTGCTGCTTCGTCTCAGCGTAGCGCGGCTTGCCTGCGAAAGGGTCACTCTCAGGTCACGTTACCCTCCAAAAGGTCGAGCGCAAAAATTACAGACACACATACGGTTCCTAGCTTTAGAGATACGAACAAGAAATAATTATAAAGGAAAACTTATGCAAAAGTGGGTCTGAGCAAATAATTTAGAATTCTTGACCTGGATTTTGTTGTTTCACCCTGATTTTATGCTAATTTTAAAAGCCGACATCCCAACATATGCCTTCAAATTTAAAAATTGTATTTTCAGCAGTAATATTTTTTACCTCCTACAAAGAAATGAGGCTAGTGGATGTTTTTATTTTTCACTTACAATTAGTTGTCTTTTCAAGTTTTGATGAAAAAGTGAAGAAAACTTGAATATTAGAGAAAAAAAATCATTAGTTTGATCTGTTTTCACCTCCAAATTTTTCTTTTTTGAGAACATGCAAGAGACAAAACTTAAAAAAAAGAAAATGTAGCTAAACATTACTTGGTGTCATGTGGAAAAATATGGCTGCCAAAAATATCGAAGCCTTTCAAATTTGAAATAAAAGTTGCTAAATAAAACATGTTAAGGTGAAATTCTTGCCTCAACTGTACACTTTGTTTTCTGAAATTGGAACCAACATTATATCTTGATCAGACCCACTTTGAAAGTTCAAAAGTTCAATACGTCTTTGAAAAGAAGTGATTTTTTTTAAATAATTTTTTCTTCAATTTCCTAAATTTTGTCCACGTTAGGGTAGGAGGACGAATAAAGAAATGAAAAGGGAAGAAAAGAGAGTGTTGTCTTATGAAGTGTCCTACTTAGCACATCAAGCATGGCATATTACAGAGAGCATGCAAGAGAGAACAAGCTTTCTATATTATCGAAAAGTTTCATCATCTGCGCGCAGGATCAAAACACACTCGGTCTTGTGGACTTGTGCCTAATGTTTATTTAGCAGCTAAAACGGTCCTTTCAGTGCTAGAAGCGTTGAGAATTTATCAAAATCGGAATCTACCATGCACTGTCTTTACTATATAAATAGCGTTCGATTTGCCAAAAATAAACTCGCTACTGTGCTGTGTGAGATATCAATTAATGGCAAAAAATTCATCTCCATCAGTCAATTTAGCTCCAATCCACGATTATAGAAAAAATTGAGTAGATGCAATAACGGGCGGAGGCCCGTCCAGTCGGTCTGGCCGAGTGGAGGGGCCGCACATCGATTTAGATATCATTCGGATCAGAATATATAATTTAAGAATGTTTTTATTCAAAAAAAGTAAAGCTATTTGGCCGACTACATTCTGAGAGCAGGAATTGCATAGAGAAAAATTTTATTAGAGATTTACTTACACATCGGACAAAACCAATTGGAGTGGTCGCAGCGAGTGTGTGTGTGAGAGAGTGTCTTCGAAATTGATTTGAAAGCGAAATTGACGCTGAAAATTTCAGAAGTCCAATCCCTAAATCAACTAAGATCTACCAAAAACTAGATTTTCTTTTTTTATAAGAGACGAAAAATAAATGAAACTCTACGAATTCTGTTTTGAGATGTCTGCTGCTGAAGTGAGAGACTGCATGGCGATTTATTTTTCATTTTCCAAGTTTTTTTATATATATAATTAGGTAGTGAGAGAGAGAAAAGAGTGTTTGTGTTACACATGCTTATTTTTTTTTTTTGCTCCGTGATTATTTCTGCTGTAGAGAGAGAAAGAGACAAGTGTGTCGAATGTCTATGACAAATACATCAGAGTAATCTTGTTAATTCCTTTCTTTTCAATATATATTCATATATATTAGAGTGTGTGTTCGAGATATTCTCTCCGCCGAGTTACTTCATATCATAATATAGAAAGCAGTGAGAGACGCATGCAGGAGGGGGGAAGTGCACTCGGTAATTATATAAATATATATAATACTTCCAATCGTGTGTATAAAAACGAAAAACACTTTTGTTTGGTGAGACAAAGAAACCAATATTGTGCTTTCGATGAGAAAGAGTCATGATGAAAGGTGAAATCATAAAACCACCAATAAAACGGGACAATTAATTTGGTGTACATTTATGTGAAAAACTCAACTTTGACTCGCCGAGACGATTCCAACGATATTCAACTCGAGTACTTTTACAAGAAAATTGGCAGAGTTCGAACTAAGCGGCCATCCTTAATTTCAAAATGGCCGCCAGTAGGTTTCATGAAAACTGCGCGAATTCTGATTCAAAGTGAACTTTCCTACATATCATTTGAATCATCTCATCGAGGCCAATTCGATTTTGCAGCATTTGGAATTTACTCAAAAATTAAAGTGGCGAACCACTTTAAGGTGATTATTAATAAATTAAAAGAATACTAGATTCGAAGCAAAGACGTCATTGGAATCGTCTCGGCCAGACGTGGCCAAATTTTGATTTTTGTGGTGAGACAGAAAACAGAACTGTGGCCTGCAAATGAAACATTGATTGAGGAGGACGGTCAACAGTTATGTGAAAAAGGAATTCGCGGTTGTTATCAGTCGAGTTTCGCACGTCAAGAAAATAATTGGACAAAAGCGAGAGGGTCTATCATTTCGATTAAATCCAGTATCGTATCACAGGTAATATATGTATAAATTCTGATGTATCTGAACAGGCAGTTATTACTTTTACGTGTGAGTGTGTATGTGTGTAGTGTTGTGAGCTCTACGCTGAAATACACAACTGCTTATAGATTAATTTGGTACTATATAACTTATTTGCTTTCGGCATCACAACTATAATATATTGTATGTATTTCAATATATATAAATTTTTACAACGGAATTCCAGCCATTCGTGAGTGTGAAAACGCCGTTGACAATTTTAACATATCGCCACAGATTTTTCGAGTTAGTGGTCCATCGTTTTTATATATCATATAGATAAATAGGAAAACAGCATTTTGTTAACAGTAAACAATCAGTGTGTATCAACAATGAGAGAAAAAGAGAGTTCGCATTCAACAATTATCCGTAATAATGTTCTCACATATGCAAAGGAAACGAGAAGAGTGAGACACACCAATCATAGAGAGCACCAGCGATAGATATTTTATGAAATTGTGTAGAAATTCAGTGAGAGCTAATTCGTCAAAAAAACACAATCGATTTTATATTAAAATTCATTTCAAGCTCTCACCAAAATCTAGGCGGTCGAGGCTCAACAAATGATATGGACATGGTAAATTAACTTTGCCAGACTGATTCACTCAAAACTTTGGGTAATGGAAAGTGCACCGATTGTCATGCAATTTAATTTAGGTACAATAATTTCGGCAATTAAATGATATTTTTCTTTTGAAATGCAGTGTTTTTTTTTTATTCTTGCGGCAATTTGTACCGTGGTTACCTAAAAATTGGTATCCTAATAATACAAAAAAGTAATATTTAAATTGTATAGAATTTTCGCTACAAATTTGAATTGAATTTTCCAAATTATTTTGTACTTTTAAATTTATAAAGTTAAAAATCAATTTATGTCAATTCTAAGTTCTAACGAGCCACAGAAAAGTCACGCTGCAAAAAAAAAATTATTTTCTGAGCGCCTAAAAATTATACAATTAGGCAACCTAAACGGTTCAGCCGGCAGCTTCCGTAGTTAGGTAATCTGCTCGTCACAACTGTTATGCACGTTGCATAACTCGATAATAATTGCTGCTTTTGTTGAACAATCAAAGAGTGAATTGAATCTGATAATTATGTTTTCGGTTTGCTGAGCCTCGCCAGGTGGCTTTAAAGGGTCGCACAACTTTCGCTAAACCAAAATTCCTGACTTTAAATTTTAATAGATTTTTTTTGGATTGTTAAGAAAATTACAATGGGGACGAAAATTGACCTTTTCTTAATTAATTTGAAAGGCAGCCATTTTGAAAAAGTGTCCAGAATTTGATGAAGTACCAAATTTTAATTGGAAAGATTTGGGTTGGTGATTTTAAACAAAATCCGCCACATCTTGTTAAGAATGGCGACTCTGCGAAAGTTGCGGCGCCCTTTAAGTTGGATTTTGGCGCGAAAACGTTCACTTTGCGTACATCCTGGTGGCCGCGGAGGCATACTTGCCTGCTTTCTGGGGCTGCATGGCGAGCAGCGACTCAGTAATGGGCGAGCTGCCGAGGTCCTCCAGCAGTTTGCGCGAGCGGGTGGGCATGTCGGGGAGGAGGGGCATGGCGGTGGGCGTGGTGAAGTCGGCCACGCCCTCGGACAGCGGCGAAAAGTCGGACAGCCGCTCGTACAGGTTGGTCGTGTAGTCGTCGGTGCGGAATGTACTCGCGATCCGCTCCATGCTGCGGTCCTCCTCGGTGCGCGTCCCCCCTCCGCCCCCTCCAGCCCCCACCCCTCCGCCGTACAGGCCGAGCGCCTCGTCGCGCAGCACCTGGTCCACCGACCTGAGCACCGAGGTGCCGTCGTACGCGCCGCCGCCCCACTCGGCCGACGGCGTGAAGCCCAGCTCGGCCGACTCGCGCAGGCGCGCCAACCTGAGCAGCTCTTCGTGCAGACGCGCGTTCTCCTCGATCTGCTGGCGCCGCCGCGCGATTTCCACCTGCCCCAGGATAGTTTCAAGCTTTAGCCCGGTTAGATTCGAACTTTTTTGCCTCACCCAACACAGAGCCCACGCTACAACGCACACCCCCCACCCATTTTCCAAATCAATCTTTTAAAATACTGAGGGCGATCCAAAAGCCCAAATTGAACAGCGGCTTAAGTTAGGCTTTTGGATTGCCCTCATTTTCAATCAAAGAGGGACATCGGGCCATTCTTGAATGAGAAGAAAGACAAACTCATTACCAAAGGAAAATTTCTCATCCCTTGCGAAAAAGTGAATTTTAACCCTGAAGGATGCAAATTTTTAAATCGCGATTTCTAGGTTAGCTATGAAATTCAATCTTCTTTCACATTCAGGAATAAAAAAAATTTTCCATTGCCCCACTTTAAAATTTTGTTTAATCACTTTTTCAAAACTATGATGTGAAGTTTTTCAAATCTTTATAGCTAATATTCCTATCAGTTAACTTCAACCAATGATTGAAGGTTTTTGAAAGGTTTCATAGATCTTAAAATGAAAAAAAAATTACTGGAAAAAAATAATTAACAATAAAGCTGATCAAAACTTAACTTTTGAAAGTCTGTTGAAAGAGGAATATTTAAAAATCTAAATTCTAAATAATGGACGAAGTAAATATTATATAAAACAAACCGAATTGGAAATGTTTAATATTTTGAAATAATTTGTAAAAAATCTTGAAATATTTTATGTTAAAAAAAAAGTAGAAATAGATTGATTTTTAAATAAATATTGAGAAAAAGCATAAAAACTTGGAGATAGAATTGATTGGAAAGGGAGTTCGGATGGCGTGCGCGTTTGTTCGGGCTCTGAGTTGTCGGGCCGGGGAAGTGTCAAGAGACCTTGATCTTGTGCTTCTTGTGTTCGCGGTCGTCGTCCTCGTCGCTGCCGTACGGCGACGGGTGCCACGAGCGCGACTTGCGCGACCGTGACCCCCGCTGACCTCGCCACGTGTCCTCGCCGCCGTCGCTCGACCGCCGCACCGCCTGGCTCGACCACCTGCAACAACCCCCGCCACGTTAGCCAAACCTCCACCCAAGGGCCTCGCAAAACCACATCAACACCTAAAACCACAACACACACACACAACCGCCGACACGCTGCGACATTAAAAAATAAGAGCTTATCCATAAAATAAAAAATTGAAATTCTAAAGAGATTCAATAAATTTCTTAGCATTTACAAATTTTATCAAGAAAATGACCCCAACAGCAATTGTCTTCTTTTATTTGCGGACGAATAAATAATAATGAAAGTTTTAATGAAATATTTTATATTTATTTATTTATTTTAATTTGTATGAATCAATGAGACAACTTGGTATATTCAAGAAATTGCGCATTTTTTTCTCTAAAATTCATCCCTTTAATATTTTATGCTTATTTTTTTTTTTTTTAAATTTTAAAAGTGAAGTTGCTAAAAATTTGAAAACAAGTCCAAATACTTTTTTTTATCAAAATATCAATAAATCAAATTAATCACACTTGTAAAAAAAGATTTGATTGTTGTATTTTTCCCCATCTTTAATTTTCAACGCTTCGATCGATGAGTAATTTGGTTTCTTTAAAAGAACAAACTTTTTTGTATTATTTACTTGAGGAGTTCTAACAAAGATTGGGAATGGCTAAACAAAAATTTATTAAATTTGACGTTATTTTTAATAGATTAATTATTACTCCAAAAACTTTCTCGTTCTCTTGGTTAAATACAAAATTTTCTATAACATTTTTCTGTGAAACATAATTTGAAATTAAAAAAGTAAAAATGTTTCTTTAGAATTGAAAAAGCTCTCATAAATTACCGTCGATTTGTTGCAGTTTTATTATTAGTCGCTTGCGGTGCTAAAAAAGGGTCTTATTTTCTTTGTGGTCGCGTGCGCGCGAACAATCAATAATTGAGCAACGCCGAGAAGCTCATGCGCCCTTGCCGCTGCAAAAGACTCGACAAGGTCCGAGGAAAAAAAAAGAAAAGAGCAGCTTTCGTGGATATTCTTTTGTTTATTGATTCAGCGAATAATTAGAGTCGATTATTTACAAGACACAAAGACTAAAACAAGTCAACAATAATGGCAACAATCGAATGTTGATATACAGAGAGAAAAGTGCGCGTTTATATAATATGTATAATTGATTTTTTCTCATACATAATTGCTGATATACAAGTTTAGACAGGGCGGAGGTCGTTCGTTTTGTCTCTCTCTCTACGAAAAAAATCACTTTATAATCTGCTTGCTAAATTGGGTTTGAGCGATTGTACATGTTAATTCATATTCGACTGCCACACTTCCAGTGAACAACATTTTTCATTCATTTTCGTGAGCGCGTCCGCCCTGTTCAGTTTTTCTTTTATTACCAAGGGATTACTTCGCTAACAACAGGGAGGCAGTAACTTGTTATTAAAGAGTCGTTGTCAAAGTTGCGATATATCATTAGTTATGCTTTAGTCCAGGAATTGACGCTTCAGTTGCAAAATATTTCTAGTTTTTCAACCAAAAAATAATCAAAAGGTTGTTTAAAAAACACCAATTTTGGCGCCAAAACTATATCATCAATTTTTTTTTTAATTAGATAACACATTTCCCAGGATATTTAATTTGGAAAAACTATTGGTATAGCAAAAGATGGAAAATCCTCAATGAAAATGAATAATTTTGATCATATAAGGATAATATTCATAACCAGAAAACTGGAGTAAATTATTGTGGAAATCGCAATATAAAAAAATTATCAAAAAACTGTATTTCGTCGCATTTAAAGTAAATTAAACCTTAATTAGTTAATGATTTTGACCCACCAAATTGTTCTTTGATAATGCAGCTACAGATTTTTGACAAGAAAATAGGGGGTCACCAGATAAATGCTTAAGAAATTTTAACCAAAGATTGAAAAACAGGATTTTTTTAAACTAAATTATTCTTATTTCCCAGGAAATCAAGCTTTTTTAGCACTTTAATTTAGTTGATTTCTGTCTGAAAATATCATAGAAGTTAATATTTCGGTTGTGAAATTATCCGAGTAAATAATTCATTAAATAAAATAATTGTAAAATTCCAATATGTAATATTCCGGAGATGGAATAAGGGGTTATACTATATCTGCTGCCGAATTGATTTACATTAAGATTTTTTCATTTCATCAGTGGGAGGTTGAAGCGAATGAACCAAGGTATCTTTTCTTAATGGTCACTAAGTTTGTGGGTCAAAAGTTCATTGACCCTGGAAACGTTTCGTGTCCCTTGAAAATATGCAATCAGACTAAATTCAGAGATTGTCTTTGTCTTTTTTTAATAGTGGAGTAAAATCTCCAATGAATATTTTGAATGAATTTTTTTTATTAATCTAAAACACAAAATTTTTATGATCAGGCGCCAAATCGTTTCCAATCGTTTTTTTTATGCACTTTAAAAAAAATCAACAAAACTGATATTATATTATTTGAAATAAAGAACAAGTGTATTCCCAGACTGAATTGTGTTGATCGAGTAGAGAGTACAAGAGGGGAATGTAAGTTAAGGATGAGTAGTATTGTCACACAGGGCAGATACGGTTGCTGTTTGTTACGAAGCGAAAGTTTGGAAAGTGTCCCTGCTCCCGCCAGGCTCAGTAGGTATCAGTGAAAGGACGAGACCTGCAAGGAGAAAACACAATTACACGCCTGCACGTGTGCGCTTTTTGGCTCGCTCGCAAAAATGAGACAATATTATATGAATCCGCGCGGATTTCGGGTGTGTGTGACGAAGAAAGACCTGCTGCTATGTATCATAGTGATGAGCACTCGCCTTTTAGACTTTCTCGGCAGTGTCCTCTTGCATGTGTCAATTTATATAACTCGCGTGCAAAACTCATGCATCGAACTAAAACTAGAGCAGCTTTCGATTGTTTTTTGTTTCAAAAGAGCAAAAGTAAAGCAGGTTTCCTTTAAATAGTTCAGCAAATCAGACTCATGCCTTCAGCGGAATTATTTTAATTTTTTTTTCAAAATCAAAAAATCCATTCGCGGAATTCAAGTAAGAAACTCATTTTTGGCCATTCAATTGCATAGAGAGCATTCACAATAATTCTAGAAAGATACGAGGTTGGGTAACAGTGCAGGAATTTTTCAGATGGAAAGGGATTTTGAAGCTTCTCAATTTTTTTAAAATAATTTCAAATTATCAATTAGTGCAGAAAAATGGAATTTTACAATTTCAAATTCATTTTAACCCTCGATATATGAAATAATTGTTCAAAATTTTTAAAATATAGATTCTTTTTGTGTTAAAGACCCTCCCTTCTTATTATTCATATATTAAAGCGGAAACGTATGACAAATAACACAATCAAAATTTAGAATATTCAAAAAAATGGATTAACATTTTCCCACCAAAAGCAGAAAAATCTTGAGGCAGATCAAAATTAAGTGTAAATCCCCAATTCTGACAATAATAGTGCAATTTTTTGCACCAATTTTGTTTTTGCCTTTTATATCACTTCTTCAAATGTTTAAAAAAGATAAATTTCGTAGAAATCTCGCCGTATCACAAATTGCCGCACGACAAAGATGGCTGCCGCCTGCCGGCGGGAAAACCAATTGAAATGGTTGAAGCAAATTTGAGTTGGAGTGAGGAATGAGGGTGCGTTCGTGGTTTATGCAAAGGGACAGAGCCATTTACCTTGTAGTACTTGGAAGGGTGGAGTCCGCGTCGGTAGGTGGGTCCTTTGCTTTGGTATCTCGTCTCGAGTTCGCTTCGAAAAAGTTCATTCCAG